CACACAGATAAAGCAGAAACAGAAGAAGACTAACACAAATGTAAAAATTACGTTACAACTGTAACTTGGAATGTGGGTAACACAGAAAGTCATTGACAATCATAGGAAAAAGAGATTTTTTTAGATTTTTGAGTTGAAATTTATCTTTTCTTTAAATTAAGGGTTGAATGGGGCATTATATAGAGTTGTGGATAGTTTTTTACACGATCCTACTATAGATTTACCCAAAATTAAGAAAATTGTCACAATACTTTGTCTAGTTTTGCCGAAAAAGTAAATTTTCTTTACGAATTATAAATTGAAAGTGTTTCTTTCTTTTATTTTGTTATTATTAGTCTAATATATAGTTAATTACCGTAATTACTGTTACTCAGTGTTTAATTAGGTGTTTTTTGTGAATTGTCAACATATTTTAAGTTTTTTTGAAGAATTTTTCACTGAAACAGTTGTTATAGATGCAATAAAACCCAAAAAGTTGCTGTTTTAACAAAAGTACAATAATAAACACTATTGTAGTAATATTTAAGAATATAATTTTGTTACTTAATACTTAAATCAATTTTCTACAAACAAATCTCCTCAACACTCACATAAAATAATATTTTTAAGCTTCAATATTCATAATTCTATGATTATGATTACTTGATTGCTGTAAACTGTCCGCAATCCGTCGGATATAAAATATAAATCGTACCGAAATAAATCCCAATTGGCACTTTAACACCTCAGGTATTGCCTTCCCGGGCAAAAGTGCAAAGGTGTGACGCCAAATCAGTACAACGTATTGTTAACTAGAATTATACAAGGTATAACAACATAACAATGTCCAATACATTTACGTTACATGCCCACCATGTTCACTGTTCGTTGTGTCTACTGAGCCCACAATCCACTTCGACCCATACAAGCCATAGATACGTTTACAAAGAAGGAAAACCCTTCGAGGCATCAAAAGATTCCACAGTACAAACGACAGTAACCACAACAACAGCAGCGGTATTTCCAACGCGGGATTAATTTCAAAAGATTTATTTCACTCGAGATACTTGCGATTACAAAGTTTAAACAGGTTAAATGTTGAACATTGAACATTTTATTCATCAAATAAATCATTATATTTTTATAATTTTGCATTGGTTTAGTAAAATATAAAGGAAAAGAAATAAATTTGATTTTTTTGAAATAAAACAAGAAAAAATTGGGTTTTAGGTTAGATTAGGTTAGGATAGGTTAGAATAGGTTATGTTACAGCTTAATTGCATTTAATAACGATTGAAATAAAGTTATTAGAGCCTCAAAACACGTAAAAATGCATTTTTTGGCGGAAAATACAAAAAATAACTTCAAAGTTGTTCATAATTCATTCAATATCTATATTGTACCTAACCTCTGTTGTTTTTATACTTCTATAAAGTTTATTTAATTAATTATCTTCCGTTTTCGCATGACTTACCTATTGTTCCATGAAGACTATGAAGAGTATCATCGCGGATATGTTTCATTTCCTTGCAACATAATTCTTCGTCTCATTTACACAATCGTCTCTCGCCTCCGTCGGCGAGCAATTAATGCAACAACATTTTTATTAAAAATCCACCCGCCTTCAGCCGGTATAGAATAAGTGCTTGAATGCTCACTCACAATGTTGGCCGTGTGTGTGTTTGTCTCGATGCGCGAGGCGCGCTCGAGATACGCCGTAATATTCAATTATATCCGCGTAATTACAGTCATTAGGCGCATTTTTGTTTGCTTTATTCGCATATCGCGATACACATGATACATGATACTCGCATACACACTCAAACAATGTGCGTATATCAACGAATTAAACAATCATAACATTAACATGACGCCACTCAATTATATTATTAACTGGCTAAGTAGTCGAAGAAACAAAACAGAATAAAACAAAGTAATGCAAACAAAGGAAGAAGATTAAGGTTATTAAAGTTATGAATAAGTGGTAATAGTAATAATATGAATTGTTTTTGGTGTTTTTTTGTTTTTGTTTTCTTTTTAATGGAAATGAAATTTTTGTGGATATTTGATGATTTCTTGTTAGTAGATATTGCAAGAAATGACATGACGCCAACGTCCTTGTCACTCATTTGCGCGTCGGGCGGGCGCACCTTCGCCGCAACCAATAATTAATAATTAGCAACGTGTTATTATCACTCACTCGACGTGGAATAAACTCGTGTGGCAAGAAACGAGCGTATCATACTTGTCAAACTATAAATTCAAACAAAACACCAACAAAGTGCGGTAAAAACACAAAGAAAACAAAGAAAACTCAAAAAACAAAAGAAATATTACTTCATTGAAACAATAAACGGTTTACGTACTGAAATTTTTGACTAAAAAATAAACTAAACAACAGCTGGTCCTTTGCACTGGTACTAAATCGAATTAGATTGATTAGATTGAAGATTGAATAGAGTGTGTGCGTTGTTTTTTGTTGGCTTTCGAGGCGCGGCCGTTTCGAAAAACGCGCGGTAATTGCCCGCGACTCGCCGCGTTATCATAACGATGCGCCGCCATTAGCGGCGCACCCACGCCGTCGGTTAACTGCCTCCGTGCCTCCGTGCCTTCGACAACAATGACGGAATGATGGGCATGAGCTAATAATCTAACGCCATCGTTATCGTAATTTTATTACGCCATGACACCGGTCGTCTGTTTTCTGCTCATCACATGACGATACAGGCTGACGAACAAAATTGAATCATCTAAATGCATACGCATGCTAACAACAAGGTTGCAACTCAACAATGTAAACTCTGTAAACATTTAAAACACCGAAATAATTATATGGAATTATTTTTAAAGCAATTTTAATAGTTTTTAGTTAGTAGTTTTAAATATATTCAGAAATAATGATTTATTATAATAAAATTATACATATATTAGTTATATATGAATTAATAGTGAAATTAATAAAATATAGTGTTTTTAATTTATTATTTACAATTTTTTACTTATTTCAATAAATTTTGGTACTCTGCACGACATCTGGTGATGATTTTAAGTCAAATAAAATTAAATTAAAGCAAAATACGTGTACATAGCGCCATCTACTGCCTTTACCTTAAAGCTAGTACTAAAATTCACTGGTAACTAGCATAACCACACTGTTTGGTTCAAATTGTTCTCATACTCATCATGTTACTTATGTTTTAAACTATAACATCGATTAATTTTAATCCTCTAGTAGTGCACCAAACAGTATTTTTCTATAAAACATGTTTCCCAATAGTACTCAATCAAGAACTTGGATGTTCTCCAGTGAAGATGAAGTAACTGCGCTGAGGGAAAGTACTAATGCTGAACACATTCGTAGATATGGTAGAAACATTCCTGTAAGTGTTATAATACAAAGACATTGTTATTTTTAAAATGATGTTTGTAATAATAATAATAATAATAATTTATTTGTTATAATTTCAGGATGCTAAAAAATATGAATACTTCTTAACTCCTGAGGAGGAGTGCATAATGGTGAGGAAATTTGAGTTTCATTTGAGAGATTTCTGCAGAAATTTCCAGCCACCTATGCCAAAATATGTGGTTGGCACGGCGTTTCATTACTTCAAACGTTTTTACATTTATAATTCGGTTATGAATTATCATCCAAAGGAGATTATGTAAGTTTATTTCTCCAATATTGGATAAAAACTGATAAATACTACTTTATTTTACAATTTCTAGGGTAACATGCATTTATTTAGCTTCAAAAGTTGAAGAATTCCACGTTTCCATTTCGCAATTTGTCGCCAATATCAAAGGTGATCGCGGCAAAGCCTCAGACATCATTCTCAACAATGAATTGCTCTTAATGGAACGGTTGAAATTTAATCACCCACAATACGTCACTTCCGGCCAGTAGAGGACTTTAATCGACATTAAAACTAGATCCTTTAAATGATCCAGGGCATCTTCGACCTGGAATCGATGATCTTTTTGATAGCATATATCTTTGAACGGTGACACATTTGTATTCCGCAGTCAAATAGCGTTTAGCGGCTGGTATTACATGCCGCTAGTAAACTTCGAAAACTTAGATTCATATGTGACTGACACTTTGTTTGGTGAAGAAGGTCGAGGTTAATTTTGGCGGTAATTGAGGCTGTAAAGGGGCATTAGGGCATGGTGAAGAAAGTAACCGACGTTCTGCCGGGTAAAGTCAATTGAAGCTACTGGACAAAACTAGAACGGTGTCGTAATCCGCGAAATATAATCAGATAATGAATGGCGAGTAATTATTTTCAAGTAGGTATTGCTTGAGGTTATATAAATTAATGTGTTTCAATGGGTGGGTAGCTGTGGTACCGGTTGCTAACATTTTTGAAGCGGAAAACGCCGCTGCGCTTTATTTCCCAGTTATAAAGAGAATGTTGTAGCGATGCTGGGTGACGAGGGCGAAGCCTACAGTCGACCAATGTCCGCAAAGATTGGAAGCCGGTAGCTCGCAAATATATATCAGAGTGATTTAATAAGTAAGAATAATAGTATTTGTTTTATTACATATTTTTATTTGTAGAAACTGAATCGTTTTCTGCCAAATATTACAATTGTATCCATTTTAAGTTATGGTTATGAGTGTCGCCAAAGTTTTGCAATTGTATGTGGCAAACAGGTGGGATTTTTTACTTGGTGGAACATCGTTGCGGAATTCGCTACGATGGTGGTAGACATTGCGTGAATGTCTTTGATGCAGGTGGCGAGGTTTAAGGTTTTGCATTGCGTTTGAGTGGCAGGACACGGTTGTCAGCACGCCATTTTGATTGTGTAGTTGAGAAGAACCGCATAAACGGTCGCCAAGAAAATTTGCCGGTCTTGGTGTTAAAATACCCATGGAATTGTAGTACTGCTGGGCGGTGTTTCGTATCATTTGAGTATACTTGCGCTTCTACATTTTGTTCGTCGGTTTTTGAAACCATATTTTGTCTGTAAGTAGTAAAATGTAATTTTAATTACTTTGTATTAGAAGGCAGGTATGATTACGTATTGGCCACTTGAGTTTCAGTGAGTTTTAGCGTCTTGGACAATTGACAACGTTTGGCAACAGAGAGATATTTGTTGCGTTCGAATTCTGCTTCCAGTGACTTGATCTGTGCGGCGGTGAAGGCGGTGCGCGGTCGCTTCTTCCTGTCGTCGTCGGATTTTGCATCTGAAAGCAGAAACACGAGACGATCGTAAATCGTTTAAGTTTTTTATGCGTCGCTTTTGCTGCCTCTCTTGTAGAGCTTGTAAGAATGTCTCTCGGCGGGCGCAATTTGCCGTGACAAAATTTATTACTGGAAGAGGAGCCGCGACAGCGCGGAGTAAGTTGAAGCGCGTTGAAGCTAATTTGCGGCCAGAATTAGATTTTAAGCGGCGTTCGCACAATGTAGAAACGAATGCACACCGCCGAGCTATTCCACGATCGTAAAACGTCGTTTTTTATTTTCACAAAATCTCATGAGTGGCGGGTGTGATCATTTTTATCTACATGGGCGATGTCTACGTCTGTTGTCGACGCCTTAGCTTCCGACCGCCATTTCATTAACAATTAGCCAAATTCGTAAACTTGGCTGAAATCTTCTGTGGACTTTAACTTCGGTCGTAAACGATCTGCGCGTAAATTATGACACTTGGAAAGTTGGGACGAAGAGAATCAAGCGGTTTTTGGTGAATGTGCACAGCGTCGAATGCAATTATTGCGTGATTTACGCGCGCAGTTGTAAATTATTTTGTCAGTGTTGTGTGTTTCTGGGGACAAAACATAAATGTAAAACGAAAAAAAGCGATATCATTCGACAGATCGTAAAAGTACAAGCAAGGCAACTGTAATAAACACCACAGGATGTAAATTGAAATTTGAACATTCCAGATTATAAATTCCTTTGCTAACATTTCTCTGAATGCTACTGAAAAATACAGCGCGTAATAAGCCGGTTTCTTGAATTTAAAGCTGTAAGTTGCATGCAGTTAAAATTAAAAGCATTTAAAAAGTGTATCAAAAGTAAACTCTTTGAGCGCGTACAAGCAAAACGAGTAACGTGTGAGCAAAAGACCGAATTTACGCGCTGTTTGCACTGGTTCGACTTATTTATTGCGTTCTCGTGTATCAAACGCGTGAATCGTTTGATCTTGCGCTGATCGCGACGGCTCAACCTGCCACAGAGTACGCGCCACTAAATTATCTATTATTCCCCTCTGTGTGTGTGCCTTTTTATTTATTTTTAAAAAGCGTGAAACAGCTTCAAGCAACGCGACGCCATCATATAAAAACGATTCCATTTTTATTGCTCCATGATGAGTTTTAGGTCATACTATTAAATTACATAAACTCAAAAATACATTTTTAAATAAATTTTACACGCAAACATTTTCTGGCATTTTTAGAGCTTAATTCATGATGACAAATTTTAAGCTGATTAGAAATGTGATTAGGTACCGTTAATAACGTGGTGGTGTTATTTTTAAACATTCGAGTGTTTGAAGATGAGTGTAGAGTTAAGTGAGCTGAGAGTAAAAAAAGTAAAGCGAAAGCGGAGTGAAACGAATCGGAAAAGGGTTGATAGCCGAGCGCCGTCGGAAGAAATTAATTACCGGCCCCGTCTCGTTTTCGGCAATTTATACGCGCTTGTTTAGACACAAGTGTCGTGTTACCGTAATTAGTATTCCCTCTTCAGTGTGCAACTGTTGCATACGCTGCATCCACAAATAAGCCAAACTCATTACTCAACAGCGCACTCAACATCACAACACGAACCATTTCAAATGGATCAGCATTTCATTTCATACAAAGCAATAATTACTTGAGTTTTGATTTTTCATTGTTGAAAATGTTTCATATTCTACGAAAATCCTTTTTTGCTGCTTTTATTGTTTCTCCGCACGATGTGTTAATTGCAATTTGAAGATCTCGAAATGCACTGCGACGGATGTCGTGGTAGCTCTCAAAAGCGCGTTAATTACTCGAAAAACAAACGAAAACGAAATCTTTTGCTGGTGCGTTTGATGCACAATATAGTTCTTTTTTTTGAGCGTCGTTTGTGTCAGCAGAAAATGAGGAAAACAATGCGTGCTGTTTTCAGGTGGGTTGTGTGGAATAATAAAGCTTTTCCTCTCTGCTGAGCTGCGCGCCGCATAGTAATTGAGCATCGTTTGAGTGTCACTTTGTCTCCGAAGCGCCTGTCGGTGGCGGCTGATATATGCGCCTTCGCGAACGCGCCCTTCTTCTTCACTGTACACATGTATGTCATTTAAATATGCTCTCTACCAGCCAGCCCAAAACGTTTGCTTTTCACTCGTTCGGGAAATGGATAAACTGAATTTAAAACTTTTACCGGAATAAAACAAAATTTTGTTGATAAAAAATTATCATGTGACATTTATAAAAATTCATTTTATGTCTAAATTCGTAGTAATTTTTGATGTTTTTAAAATGGCGATGCAAAAGAAATAGTACTTTGTTCAGTTACAAGTGCGATTCTTCATAAACAAGACGAATTTTGGGAGAAAATAATTTGCGAATATGAAAAAGCCATCAGAGACTTAAAATCTGAAGAAAATCAACTACAACAACGTGTATTTGAGTTAAAAATCACTACTCAAGCAATAGCTACATTCAATTTGTTAAAACATCTTAATCAAAATGGTGATCCGACTTTAATCAATGAGTTAACGAAATTGCAATGTATCTGCCCAACAGTATCGACAAAAGAACAGGCCATCAAAAGTAGATACAACTGCTTTCAATCTTGACGGAAAAATATTGAACAGATAACGAAGAGGTAAAGAAGTTGGTCAACCGCGAACTGAAACTAATTGAAAAAGTGAATGAATTACGCGTTAAGGATGCAGCTCTCACCAGATTTAAAACAAAATATTGATGAATTAATGAAAAACACTTTTCCAAATATGATTTTCTCTGCAGGAAGTGATATAATATCAGAACTGCAAATGAAATCAAAATATTATTGAAATCTGTTCGAGAATCCACTGATGAATTGCGTTTATCACAAAAACAAGGGCGAGAACGTTGACGGGGATGGTGCGTTTGTCAGGGGTAAGGCCGGTTGGGCGCGGTATGTTATCAAATCACCACTTGAATCTCATATCGGGAAATATCGAAGAATACGAAGAAAATTCAAGTGTGTGTGAAATGAAGAAGCTCGTTGATGCTATGCGAAGGACGCTGATGTTCTAAAGTTGGCCGTTGAGATGATTAAAAAAGTTATAATTATTTCTGATTAGAATATTACTGTGATGTGTTTGCTCGGAGGCGGCGCTGAAATAAATTTCACTTTTATTTTGCGGGTACCGAACGACACGCCTGGAAGCTTCAATTTGTCTCCGGGAAGAGCAGCTTTAAGCACTTAATGAGACTGCTTATGCGCGCCGCGTGCCGCGCCGTTTTGCGCGTTTATGTATTTTTAGCTGCAGCGAGCGAACGGCTTTAAATTAAGCATCGCGCTTCTTATTACCACTTAATTATCGGTGAGGCAATTAGCGTTACTTGGGGGCAGGCGGTTGAGCGGATAGAGAGGAGAGGACTTCCGTTTTGGATGTACAGATATGTTTTTGGCCTGATAACATGAGAGAATTATTGGAGAATATTATAAAACTTAATTAAATATTGCTTAAGTATTATTTACTCCTTATGGTGACTTAACAAATTTAAATTTGTTTGAATTACGTTTATTTTCACGGATTTCAATTCAGTTTTGAGTTTAGAAGGTTTTTTGGCTTGAAAATTTATATAAATTTACCAGGAAATTATTTTAGTTGCATTTCTACTTTGTTTTTCATATAAAATTATTGCTTTCGCATTTTTTGGTGTTTAACTAACAGACTGAAAATATTTTCAGTTTAATGACCAATGAACCGTAGTTTATTTTAAATTTATGTGCTATCTGTAGGAACATAAGCACCTGAAATATTTTGGCAAATATTTGCGCGTATTCAGCTTGTCAGTTTATGTTCTAGCCAATTATTTTCTAAATTATTATTTTTTCATTGAAGAAAAATATCTACTTGCGTACAAAATTAATCTCAATGATTATTAAATTTGCTTCTATTTTCTAATATTTATTTTTTGTATTTTACATTTGAATTTTTAAGTTAGTTTAAAGTTTAAATGATTATCTTACCAATAAGATTCCTCTGATAAAATTCATCGCAGTCACTTGCCGTCGCACTAGCCGAACGAATGCGAAATGCTGGCGTTGTCTCCAAACTGCTGCCATTTGCTGCATTCAACTGCCGCACAACAAAATCGTCACTTTCGCTGCGAATGCTACTCGCACCACCACCCAAATCACTATGATTACCGTTATCAACAAAATTGTTCACAAAATACCCGCTATCGCCACCGCCAAACCCAGTAATACCACCAGATACACCCGAATTAGTACCATCTACATTTAACCCACCACCTCCACCATTAATTAACAACTCATGCAAATTATTATCGCACCCGTCGGTAACATTCTTACTTTTAATATCATCGTCGCGACTTAACAAAGATTCTATCGAGAAACTTTTCTTTGGATCTTTCTTTGGTATCGGTTCCACTGTTTGAGCAATTTGATCACTTTGCGATGACTCCATAGTAAAATTAAGCAAACAAAATGAAATAATTGATTAAGACATCAATGATTAACACAAAGTGGGAAACTTGTTTGAAGGTGTTTAACTTCCACTTAAACCGTTAGCCGAATGCGGCCGCGAGGATTTGTTTGTCGCGACTCGAGCGACTTAAGTCGTGATCGCGTGTTGGACCAATAGAATCGTCTAAATCCTCGTCCTGTGGCGGTCCCCGCCCACTTTCAGATCGCAGCATCATATGTAAATTGGTGTGTCAGTGCCCACCACGAACACGAGTTAAGTGCGCTTAGCGTGAAGACGCCGCAGTGGGGATAATTGAGATATTTTTACGTGAGAGGACGGCGCGACGCTATGCTGCTATTAATAAACGGCAACGAGCAATGTGTAAAGGATAACGAGCGCTATCAATAGGTTAATGATTAATTAATCGTCAGCGTTTGGCGCATTCGCGAATTGCGCAGAGGTGCCAAGCATTATACGCTTGTTAACATTCGTTGAATTTTCATGAGAAAATAGTGCAAATATTAGTAATTTAACAAAGAAATTTTAAATATAAATGGTTGGAGTTGTGATTAATTTGTTGACAGCTTCTAGACTGAAAATATTTTGTCGGTTTTGAGCGACAGTCTAATTACGACACGATTCCGGAAACTTGGCGCCACCGGTCTTAGATAAATCTTGTGATCATGCGATAATCATGAGATTTGAGCTATAATGAGGAGGAACAGAAGGCGGAAGGGAAGATGTAAAGGTTCCGCTCAAATTGGCGCCACTGCATTGGAAATTATTGAAATTCCTTTCAATAATAAGCAATAAATCAAAATATTTTAATATTTACACAATTACGATTAAAAACGAATCAAATAATGACTTAATTTGTATATAAATTAATTTTATTCGTGATTTTCTATTCATAGAAAACATTGGTTGCATTTTTTGCAAAGTGTTGAAGTTTGAAGTTGGTGAAGGATTAACAAACGGCGCCACCGTTAAAATACTTCAAATTCTTAGCTACCCTACAACGTTCATTCAACATTCATTCGGTAAGTTTTTGTTTCCATGCATTTTTCTTCTTTGCGTCTCTTTTACATGCATTTGTCTGAAATGAAATGTAAGACGACAAGACGAGCGGGTCGTAAAGCCGTAATCGTTCTTGACACATGTGGTAGGTGTTAACTTACCCTCATTTAAAAGCAAGTCCCGCGCGACTAAAAATTCAATCTTCTAAATCATTGTAAATCTTCCGTGACACACCGAATATAAACATCGAAGCAACACCCCTCTAAAAAAGTAAGTACGTACTGAAACATGCTTGGAAAAAACAAGATTTAAGTTGAACGCTCTTTTGGAGATATTAATCGTTTTTATTTGAGCGTTTTTGACGCCTTCGATCGTCGCTCGGTTTTCAAAGTTTTGTGCACGCGGGCATCCGCTCCGCATGTCGCGTTCTCGTGTCCAATTAGCGGCGTTATTTATCGCTCGGTTAATTAACGGTAATTAAGAAGCGTTTTCGTCAACGGCGCGTAGTGCCAAAACGTTTGGGCACGCAGCGGCTGTTTGGCAAGTTATAATCGATCTCTGAGAGAGGAAAAAACGTGTGTTTGATTGAATCCGTGTGAAAAGTGTGAAATGTGTAACACATTAGAAAACCATTACGCATTTGATTTATGCATTTTTAAAGGGAATTTAATTTTGGAAATATTTGTTTCATTTTTGTTTAGAATTTCGATTTGTTAGTAGTTACAAATGCAGATGGGGCAGAAATGCAGATGGGGCAGATCTGCATTTATAGCACAATTATTTTACATTATATAATAATTTTAGTTTATTCATATAAAAATATTTTGCACCCGTGACAAAATACAAACTTAATTGTAACTTCTATTAATACAATACACAGAACACAAACATTCAACTTCGTGCGCAATAATCGAATACGATTTGGTATTACAGTTTGGTATAAAAATCTAACATCGCAGATATCATTATCGCAGGCTAAAACATGACACAGATGGCAAGAGAGGATGATTCGATAAGAGACTCGTTCAATATGTGAGCAACCAAGAGAGATTTGATTTAAATTAAAGTAGAATTATTCAATAACAACACTTTTGATGAACTTCCCCGTGGGCGATTGCGGTGATACTTCCACCGGGTTCTTCAATCCACCCAATATCGGTGGCTTGTAATTGACTTGAGCGTGCCATCAATGCATCCGCATCACCTTCGTAAATTTTCATGGTGTTTATTTCGCCTTGCGCGCAGGACTTCAACAGGCCCTGAGCTATGTGTTCAAAAATTTGACCAACACCCTAAATAGGAATAAAATTAGTAAATTATTAATTTATAATTTATTTTTAAATACTTACTGAATCTTCTTTGGCTGATGTCTCATAATAAGCAGCGTCTAGTGAATTAGCAAATTGAAAGCCTTCGTTGCGCGAAACCGCACGCTGCTCGACCAGATCCAATTTAGTCGCGACTACGCATAGCACCATCTTCTCCTCGACGTTCCTGCGTAGTTCATGCGCCCACATTTTTAAGTTTTCGAACGATTCGACGCGTGTTAAGTCAAAGGCGAGTAGTCCAGCGTTTGCATTGCGGTAGAAAAGGGGTGTCAACGCTTTGAAACGCTCCTGGCCAGCAGTATCCCATATCTAGATTAAAAGAACACCACACTACATAAATTGCGGTTGGTATTGCGAGAATGCTGAGTAAAGTAAGTTATGAAGCTTTAACAGCGAATTATTGCAATTTGTACTGCGATTTGATGATATTAAGAGCTCGTCGATCATGGCGGAGCACTTAACTTGTCTCCGGTGGGCTGAATTTGTGATTGCACAGATTTTAGTAGCAAACAGAACGACTAAGGGGTTTTATTACCATTTCATTTTGAATATTTAAGAAATTTGAGACGCCGCATAACATTAAGTTAATAAAATGTTTAAATTATAAACAAATCAACTAAACTACATTTGCTGACGTTTATTTGATCATAAACTATGAGAATACTTTTTATTAATTGGAAGTTAGAAGGGAATATATCCCCTTAGACTATTTTAAGTTTTACAACTACAACTACATACTGAACTAAACTGGGCGCACGTTTTAATGATGGCTCTGCTCCAATAACTTTATTCAGTTGGGTTTTATGCACGATCGGATGACTTGACGCCTACAATTTAGTGTAACGCATTTGAGGATTTGAGAAATTCGCTACGAAAATAAATCTTGTTTGCAACGTCTCGGAAGATTACAAAATTACACTGTTTATAAACCGCAACGTCATGATTTTAAATATTTTACAACTGACTAGGGACTTCGAGCGACTTCATTGCAATAGCATGAGAGCAGAAGATACAAACATCCTCTTTTCTCGGGTATTACCCAACGCTCACTACTTTATGCGTCACTGCAGGGGGTCTCCCTACCCCCTCCACTTTTCACGGGACACCGCAGGTTTAAAGGGGGAGCCCGAAACAAGCAGGGTGTTCAGTCGTGCCTGATACCTCCAGCAGTGCAGTCGCTGCTCTCTTGGTCCTTTCCCGACTTTAGTGTGGTTCACTTTTTTGTAATTCGTTGGTTTTGGTTTCATTTCCATACAAATATGGATAGTTACACAATGTCAATCGGATCCACATAAAATCCTCACCATTTTAATGATTAGAGGAAATTCACACGGATAAATGAATTAAATAGATAAATAAAGATTATAATAATCAAATAAGTTATACATACGTTCAGTTTGACTAAGATATCATCGTGCATTTGTAGTTTACATGGCGTGAAAATGGCACCAATCGTCGGCTGCGTCACTTCCTGGAAAACATTTTGCACGTATCGCAGGACGATGCTTGTCTTACCAACATCTAAACAAATTACAAATAGTTTTATTATATCATTCAGATCACGTTCCAATATTCTTCAGTAATTTAAAAATGGTAAACATACGTGTTAAATTTAGATATATCACGATCGATCGGACAAATGAGTAATATTCGTTGTAAATTACCGTCGCTGATAGGCATATATGCAAAACCGGTTAGGATAAATACGAAATTGTCAAGGAAATGACTCATGCCCACGCCACGAACAATTCTTATTTGATAAACAGAATAATAAGTGCGTTGTCTGTTCTTATAAGCAGATACAACTACATTCTTTTAACTTTTTTTTCTCATCAAAACAAAAGTCTTGTTAATTATTTTTTTTGTTATGGTATAGAAATTAAATAGGTATGCGATTGATTTTATGTTACGACGTAAACAAAGCAATGGAATTTCACTTACTCTGATCACCCACCACAATTACTTTTCCAACTACGACTTTCATAGTCGTTCTGTGTCATAAATGCACTCGCAGAACAGCGCCGTGTTAATTTGAAATGATTTCGACGTGTGGCAACGTTATATCTAGCGCAGCGAATGTGCACGCCGCGGGAATGTTTTGATTTCGTGCGACAAACAACGAACAAACACGCACTGCAGGTGATTTTTGACGATTGTCAGTTGTCGTTTGTCATATGACCGCGATGACTGGTTTTGACAGCGGCTGTATTTCTATAGAAATTTGTAGCTAGTTTACAGAAGTGTGCGATAGATGGCGCATGCTGTATGACTTTTAGAGTGAAATCTGCAGTTTAGTAAAAGAATGTGAATGTGAAAGAAGGCTAGATTGATAGAAATAACAGATAAGAGTGTTATTTATGTGATATTTTGCAGTAGAATTTATCTGCAGGTGGTGTTTGAGATAGTAGTGTTTTTGTTTTGACCGCTAGTTTTACGTGCAACAATTTGCTTGGCTTGCAAGTGAACAAGTTTCAGTTGTGCTTCAATTATGTTCGTTGCACAGTGTAAAACTGAATTTTTGCTTCGGGAAAATCAAATCATACGCCAGTGTGCGCGTTGCTGGCGTCGAAAGTATTATTTCATTAGTGCGTTCGATATGTGATAACTTTTCGGCGTCCGTTGGCTGCAAGAAAGGCAAGTTTCCCAGTTAAAAATGTTGCTAACTCGATTTCGTGTGCCATCTGGGTCGAAAACGAGCCGAAATACCGCTTTGTGCTCGATGTTCGTCGTCGGCGGCGGTGGTGTGTGCGAGCGGGCGGTTGATTGGTAATTGCTTCCCGGCGGCGGCTGTCGAATCAACGAGACGAACGAGCCGGCGAGCTAGTGGCGCGTGAAGCGGCGCACTTGCCGCCGCCGCCGTCGAAGTCTAACGTCGCCGGAATAACAATTGCGAGCGTCGCGGACAAGTTTTCGATCACTTTAGGCGCGCACCGAACACGATTTCCTCCACCCGCCTCCCGTCCGCGCGCAATTTGCCATTCGACATCGACATCGTTTGTTTCAACTCGGTTTCACAGGCGCACGTTCTCTCTTTACAAGCGTATCAAGTTAGTTTCGCACACTCTGAATAACGGCGAATTCGCTGTTTGCTCACTCGGCGGGCGAAACGTGAAAACCACCCTCGCAAACTTTTATCCAAACCACAAAAATATAAAAACAGAAAAAAATCCTCCGCAAAAAATAATGTGTATTAACATGACACTTTGTTTATGCGCCATTCCCGGCTTCCGAATGAAATCGAACGTGACGTTCTCATTTCGTTTTGTTTGCGGCGTTTGTTTTTACGACTTTTGATAGATTGCGTGTCCATGATGTGCCTCTTAGTGCGTCGTTTCGTCCTTTGTTGTTTTTTGTTGATGTGCCAAAAAGGCAGACTCGCAGCGCGATTCCGCCGATCGAATGGCGGAAAATGAGAAAATTTCCAAGTCTCCACTGGGGGCGAGCGGGTGAACCGGCGGCGGTAAACGATGATAATTCGTCGACGACGCTCCGATTGGCGGAAAACTTTTCGATTGCTTCCAATCTTCGTAATTTTTGGTCGGGAAAGTCATAATTTATTGCTATCGATATCTCCGCGTCTTTTGCTCTCCATTCCCCCAATACGGGCGATAGATTTGTACCGTTGAGTATAATCAGTATCGCGATCTGTTCGCCAATCGGCGAGTCACGTACCATTCGAAACAAAAAATAAAATAAAATTTAAGAAAACGCAAGAACCTTTAAAACCATTGTAATTGTTTTAAAACAAAAATTATTTTTATTTTGATATTTTAAAGTTTTTTACTAAAAATATTGGCAAAATGTATTTTTGTTACTTTGGAACATATAATATGACAAAAATGAGTTTTTCCCACACTGTATGTCTCTAAAAAGAAGGAATTGTGACCTCTTCGGCGTTCGTTGCCTCGCTCGCTCCTTGTCACTGACATTACTTCTGCTGCAGAGATGCTACTTGCTCGCGTTTGCTCTCGCGGCGGCGGGAGCACGCCGCCCTGCCCTCATACATATAAACATGATAGCGAATCAGTTGTTAAGTTAAGCGCGAACTCCACTTTAGACAAAACCTTTTAGCAAATTGCGCTCAACTCGCCTGCCCGCCGCCGCCGCCGTCGCAGTCGCCGATATGGGCTTGTAATACATACAATTCATTCGCAGCGCAAACGACGTAGCGTTGCATAATCAGACGCCACCCTTTGGGGTGAGGGGTGAGTCGACAACTCGTCACGCGAGAAACCGCAGGAGCACACATACGTATCACAAAAGGCCGGGTGATGGTGATTTTAGACGGGTTTTGAGGTTTTTTTGAGGATTTGTAAGAGGGTCGTGCGGGCGTATGGAGAAAATTGGTAACGATAGGGGAAGCTAAAGATGAAGTTAAAGAGAGTGTTTGACGAGTGCTTTTGCATGTTTACATTTTTAGTGTGAAAAGATTTAAGTAGATAAATTACTTATGATTTTTTTTGTTTTTTGTTTTTTACTAAATTTGTTTCTTTTTGTGCCGCAATGCAACAAAATCGGCAGGAATAAATTACACTCATGCTCGCATTACAATTGCGGATGATTTTCACTCGGCCATTTACGTCTTTCGGTCTCATTTTTACGAGTTTTACGAGCGGCAGGTTCGCCTCAATGCCGGTAAGCGACATACAAGTAGAAACACATAAAAGTCATAAAACGCAAATCATTCAAAACGCTTCCCCAGGCCAGTTGGCCATTTCCCGGACGTTCCTCGCACGATAAATGCAAAAGCGTATTTTCTTCACCGCTGCAAACGTTCGCTTGCTTTCTGCACGTCGACGTCGATTTAGCGTTTATACGCTTTCCGCGGCTCGTTTTCCGATCGTTTGCGCCGTGCACTGAGCTTTAACGATTACTTTATTTTTATGCTAGTGGCCGCATTACGCTCGATTACATAAATAATTTAGCACTAAATGTAGTATCAAACGTGCTGTGCGCATGCGTGCTAGCACATAAAAGAAGGAACATATTGGGTTGCATATGTTAAAGTCAATATTTAATATTAATAATTTATTTATTTATTTATTATATTCTGAGACTTGGTTTATCATGATAATTTTTACATTTTTCCGCGTTCGCGCATCTTATCATTATCAACACATACATATTACTTATAATAGGAACTTGAAATTATTTACAATCGTTTACGTTTTGGCACAAACACACGAACTGAAATCGTCAAACTGAAACATTTAAAGCTTACGTATATTGTTTTTTTCCATGTTTAATTAATTTGCTTGCTCTAAACACTAAAATTTCGAACATTTCTAAAACGAAACGATACAAAACGTGATGCTACTTACGTACAATTGATATTAAAAATTATATATAGCTATAACTTTATGTCTTCTGTGTGTTAATTACATAATTACAGTTTTATTTAGTCGTACCTACACATTGCATGGCAATAATTTGAGATTCATTTTGTGATGTGGGTGGCTTTAGACAACGTAGGGTCGGTATAATGCCTCGCCGTCCGGCATTTTGCGCGCACCATTTTGTTCGGACTGATGCGGCAGTGCTGTTGGGGGCGGCGGATGTTGCTGCGTGGGCGAGTGCAGTGGCGCGACGCCGTCGTGCTGCTGCTGTTGCTGCGGCGGTGGCGGCTGCTGCGATTGCGACGTGACGCTATTCTTGTACGTCGACGCTGCCGAGCTGCCGTTCGACTTTAACCCTGCATCTCCGCCGCCCCCACCTCCGCTGGACTCCTTCATCGCCTGCTTTGACTCTTGTTGCGCTTTCTTACTGCGTTTCCATTTCATGCGACGATTTTGAAACCAGATTTTTACCTGTAAACAAAAGATTTTAAATTAAATTTCAGTTTTTTTAAGAAAAAAAAAAAGAAATGTTTGCAGTTTACGAATTGCAACTTCTTCTATATTGCCGCCGCGAAAAGTTATTGCTCCGAGGGTGGGTTTGAAGGGGGCGGTCGAGTTTGGGCGCGCTGAGCCGAAGCTGAACTCTGAGCCGAACTTCAAACAAACATCGCCGACGTTCCGGGGCCCGAGAGTGATATTTTAGGATTGCGATGAGTAACTGCGCGCGTGTGACGCGTCTATTTGTCACGCGCAGCTAGATTTTCTTTGCGGCAGCACCGCCGGAACACTAACGACGGCCATGTTTTGCTATAGGTGTGCATTTCACCGCAAAAACGCGCTTTAAATTATGATTTAATCTTGACAAATCGTAATTTATGCATCATCACATATTCAGATGAAATTTTTAGTCAAAATATAAAAAAAACTTACTTGCGTTTCGGTTAACATGAGATTCGTGGCGACTTCAAATCGTTTCGGCCTAGATAAATACTTGTTCTGACGAAATTGTTTCTCTAACTCGAGGAGTTGCTGTGAGGTGAACGCCGTGCGTGGTCGACGCGTCTTTCCCATAAGCGCATGATGCGCTGGACCACAACCTGCAATCAACAGACAAACGTGTTTGAAATCTCAATCAAAATAATCACAAATTTTATTTTTATGATTTCAGGTGTCCACGGTGCTGATGTGAACGTTAAAAACAAACTACATCAAAATAAAGGGTTGATTCATTGTTGCCATTGTCTATCTTCAAGTGTTTGTAAGTACTTTATTATTTATTGCACCACTTTTTTGAATGCCTACTACCCTTGTATTTATTTAATTATTCATAGTTGGCATACACTATGAATATGTTGAGGGGGTATTTAAGTAGTTGCACCGCCTCGCAGCTTATTGTGTCATTGAATTTGATGGTGGTGCTAATTTGTCACCAGCTCGCGTTACCCGCGGCATATTGCGCGTAGAAAACCTGTGGCCGAAGAGGGGCCGCATGTTTGCGCCGTATTTATCACTCGGCGGGGCGCTGTGCCCCTCTCTCTCTGCCCCTCATCGTTGATTGCCCCATTGTCATGATAATTTAATATCCTAATACATTTAACGACACCCCTAATTTCGCCCCTTTCGCCCAAAACGTTTTACGCACACACATCAACACATACATAGATTTACTCGATGTGAGTGTAGTGTGAGCACGAGCGATGTGTACAAATACGCACACATGGTTGGCGGCGGCGGCGCGGTAATGAATGAGATGCCGACAAATGCGCACTTTGCGCTCTCCGCAAACGCTTCGAGCGATTCGGAATGAATGCCCGCGCGCGCTTTGTGCGGCGATGACTAGTTTATAACTGCCGGCGGGACGCAAATCAACCGGGACGAAGCATTACCAGCTCTTTAAACACTCCAAACACTTTTGGTATTTAATTAAAAGTCAATAACAACTTGGAATAACTTTTTAAAGTGAGCTATAACATAAAATGTATTTAACAAGTGTTAAATTTAATATTTTTCTTTATTAATCATTAATTAAAGAAATAATTTGAGTAAAATTTTTATGAAAAAAAAATAATTTGCTAAAGATAAACCAATTAAATTCTCCATCAATGCTTTTTTATCACAGGTTTTTTGCGCTGGTAGTCCTTGATTGCCGATGATGATATTATAGCCTGATTAATGCAACATCGCACGAATCAGGTATTCAAATTTTCGTGTCGCTGTCGCAAACGACGCGACGCCCGATTCCATTAGCGACGTTTCACGCTCGACGGCGAAACTTGACGCGCAGCGCGCGCGCGTGTTTGCGATTGTTTCAAATTGGATGAAAACGAAAACGTTTCCGTTTCGTTGTCGTCGTCGCCGGGGCGATGCGCAGCGCGCCTTCCGCTTCTCCGGCTTGTTCTAATGCGAATTATATGTGATAATTAAATGCAAATTGCAGCTCATCCGAGCGTGTGCGCGCTCGCGACGAAAAGCGCCCCGGCTCTCTCTTGATGAGCCGTAATTGGATTATCTCGCAGCGAGCGAGCGGGCTTGTTTCTCGACGAGTTTTGTGAACGCGAAAAATTTCAGCGTTAATCTCGGAAATGCAATAATAAAACGGATTTTACGTTCATATTTCATGCAAATTATCATTTCAGCAAATTTTCTATTTTTGTAGGTAGGTATATTAGGCAATTGATCATGATTCCAAGGGTGGTTTTTGTGCATATGGCGAATTTAATCAACGCGTTTATTAAATAATCGCACATTCGAGATAATTAATTTGTACGTGTGAATGTGGACTATCATCGCTGATTGAATTCGATGGGATATTTGCTTTGGGATTTAAATTGAAGTGCGTCAGTAATTACCTACCTAATTTTAGGAATTATTTGTTACATTTTGTTAATCTATCTTTGCAGGTTGATAACGAATTTTTAACTTGCGTTTTTTTTTAGTTTCAATTTCAATGATGATCTGTTTTATTTGGGTGCCATTAGTAAGCTAATAGCATATTCCAAATGTCATGATCGTTTATTGCGACCACAAATAATTCCGCCCAAATGTCACGATTTTCTATTTTCTATCGCAACCCCTCGTGACCCGCCGCATTTTGCATGTTGCACCTTACGGAATCGCTTTAAGCGAGCATATTTACTGCGTTTGGGAGACAATAAAAATCATGCCAGATGGCAACCTGCTATAATCGCATTGCATCCCTTAAATCGACGTGTTACACTCTCGACTGAGTCGGCCCCTCTCGTTAGACGGGTCCGCCAGGTCTATTTGTCTAAATAGCTCCTAATATAAACAAACCCGCGCTCGCCCCATAAAATTTAACGCCCGACTGGCAAGGGTGTCAGCGCGCGCGACATCCAAAGAGCAAAGTTGGAGCTGTCACTCTTGGTGTTAGCAAGTTAGCATGTTGGCGAATGTTTCCATGTTTCCATTGTGGACGCTGCGCGCCGAGGGCGAAATCGCGCTTTATTTACCCACCAGTCAGCGCGATATTAAGCCGATGTGTAATTATTACTCATCGCGGGTCATAACACGCATTTAACGCGCGGATTTCTGTCAGCGGCGAGTGTGATAAATTTGATGCATTTTGTTCAAACTTCACTAAAAATTAATTTATCAACAAACTACTCGTATATCTACACTGACATAATAAATACCTACCTATAGTGCGTAAAATTATCTTCAGGTTTTATTCTTTGTGTTATTTTGTAAGCAATAATATTATTAGATACGATTATCATTCCATTTCGTTCCGCGCGGTTAGGGGTTGCTTTCTGACGCTTGATTTTTGGCTTGGGTGCTTTTCGCCCCCTTAAAACCAACGCAAAACGTTTGTGTTCTCGGCGTGGCGACTGGGAAAAATGCGTAATGCAATTATACTTATTGCCGGCCGACTGTTTATTGCAAACTGTTGGCGCACATGAGCATTAGCGCTGTTGGTGCAGCTAGTTAGCTCGCAATAATCCAATCCAATTGGCATCGAAAATAAGAGTGGTGATAACAGGGGGAGAGCACATCTTCTAAATGGATTACATTCAACGAGGCGAAAACAGACGAGCGAAAAAATTAAACAGAAAACGACAGACAACAAAAACAACAGTCGTTTAAGTAAAAGTAAAAAGACATCTTTGAAAATTTATTTTTCAAGCTTTTAACGCTAATTCCGCAAGGGAATTGTACAAAAACGAATGGAATTATTGGCATAAAGACTGAAGTGATAAAATTTAATGCATTGCGTGACTGAATGAATAGTGTTAGAGCTTAAATCGAGCCTAATTGCGTTCGATAAACATAATGGGCGCGAATCAATTAGAAGTGTCGACGCGTGTCCGGCGCGCGTGCATCAACGAATTGATACGAATTTGTCTAAATCATGTGTGGGTGTACGCACCCTCTCTGACCGCACTCGTGATTTGCGCCATCGGGCACCCCAAAACGAGACCCAGCAATCGCCCATAAATTATCGGTTTAATTGTCGGCTTTCCTCGGCGCCTACAAACGCAGAAGTAATCTGTTGCGAAGAAACTTTTCCGCCCCAGCCAGCACAAGTTGAACAAAAGATCGGATTAAAATCGTAAAAGATAAATATGAAAAGTTTCCGTTTCCGTGCCTCGGATGGCAGAAGGTCTAACGAGTAAGAAGTAAGGGATGAGCGTTTAAAAAGACCGTGTCGGGGTTGTAGGGGTGCTGGGATGGTGCAGGTTGAGTATCCCGGATTGGTATCCGCCATCCGGTGCGCCGTAAATCACGCCCCGGGAAAACGATCATCGGAATGTTTTAAAGCCCTCCAGAGCCGGCGCCGCACGCCGATTGCCTTCTGATATATGGAGGTTATGTGCACGCTCGATGCTTATAAATGGCGGGCATTAGCGAGCGCACTCTGAGACTTCTATCCGAGTTTTTTACGTGCGCAAAGTTTAACTCCGGCAATAATCGAATTGCACATTAATCGTGTGCGTTATTTTTCCTATTTTGTATTTTGCGCGTTGAAATTTCGAAAATTTTAAATCTCCGGATATGGAGGAAGTGGTGAAATCGTTAATATGCAGATTTGTCACGCAAAATGTCGGTATCCACGTCGAGGATAGATCGCGAAGCGAGCGGCTGATTGCAAAGACAAACAGAAGCGCCGAGCTCCGGCTTGACGAGCCACCCCCAACCCTTAACTGTGGGCCGTGGAGGGTGGACGCGTCTCGACTAGCGCATAATGCCTGGAATCGAAGGAGAACGCGCTGGGCCTCGGCGAGGTAAAACTCGACGATTGTAAATTGGCCCTGTAAACACATTCTAACATGATCAGCACTACATTAGGTCGCTCTCAACCTGCCATCTCGACGTCTCACGCCATTTCACCATCTTACATCTACTCATCCACTACCTTTACAAACACCCACACACATAATTCATCTTATCTTTAGTTACAATGCTAAACTAACCGTAAATCTTAGTTGTCTGTTTTATTATTTTCTACAAAATAATATTTCAACCCTTAAAATAAAAACAGGGGATGAGTGGATGAAGGAATGTTATCACGTTTGTTGATTGCGTGATAACAGCGAATTTCGCCGATTGTATTTCTCCTGTTTGCGCGCACAATGCTGTCTTTGTCTCCGCGTTTGCTCATCCGCAAAACGTGAACCCACCCCCCTCACGGTTCTTGCTGCTGTTGCTCCCGCTGCCTGCAATTAGCTAACTCGATTTGGGAGATCCCTTTCGTGCGGATCTGTTCGCAATGTGTTGTCAATGTTTTGTTCGGATGGTTTTTTATTGCCTTAACGAAGTCCTAAACGGATTACGAGCTGGAGCGCGCGGGCCCTCGGCGACATGACGAGTGTTGTGTGCGCGAAATGGTGTCTTTTTTTCACCGGGCCGCATGAAAATTCATGCCACGCGAAAACGCTCCTTGATTAACTACGTTTTTGTGCGCGCAACAACAAGAAATTTGCATACGAAGCAAACCGGAAACTATAGACTTAAATCACAATTCAAAAACTAGTTTTATCAAAAAATAAAAATAAATTGAATTTTGTAATGTTTCTTACCTGCAAGATCTGGTAACCTGCCCATGGGCCACATACGCGTTGCAAGAAACTCAATATGCATCTGCTGGAGTTGGTTATAGCTGTGATTCTGAAATTGCATCTTCATTCCGTTTTCGAGACTGTGAAACGCCGAGCTCTGCTGAGGATGGTGCGGTGGTTGCTGGTGTGCTGGATACCCATAGAACCCACCATTGCTAGGATACACGTGTCCGAGCAATCCTGGCCGTGGTACAAAATGCGACGGTGGAATTTCTTCACTTCCGGGTGAAATTGGCGGGCTGCGGCTTCTCGTCGACGACGTGGGTGATACACTCCTCGACGTGGTGTCCACTGGACTTGGTGCTCTATCTCGTTCATCTCTATCTCTCCGAAGTAAAGCGTCTATACAAAAAGAGCCTTTCTTCTCTTGCACCTGCAGTTTGGTGTCCATATTCAACGGTATCTCGTCGTAGTTCATACTCTCAACTTTGACGGCACTTTTCATCACTTTTCCTACACAAAAACACTATTTGAACACGTTTGTTTAAGATTTAATATGTTTGTGCCTGGATGGTTTATGATAAAGTGTCGGTCGATTGTATGGAACGGCCGACGCGAGAGGCGTCGATGGACTAAACGATTCGAAAAGTATTATCCTAATAATATCTGACATTACAGCGACATTAGACACGGTGTACATTACGCGGGGGGCGCGCGGCGTGCGCACTCGACGAGGTGCGGAGTTGCGGACGCGAAAGCGCACATTCGCGGCCCGCGCTTTCCGGATTGGCGGGAAACTTTCGGTGCGGCTCCGCCTCCGGAAAGCTGCGAGAGGGGGGTCGTGCACCCTCGGCGTGAGGGTGGAGAAGAACACGGGCAGATCTGCGCTATAAACACCTTCAGAGGTTTTTTTTTGTAAATTTTAAACTTTTTTTATGGGTGCATATACAACATATGGAAAATCAAAGACAACACGGGGGTGGTTTTGATAAGGATTCTGTCAAAATGTCAAAAATTTAATTTTTTAAAAGTTTGACAAAATTTAAAATTTAAATTTTTATTTTTTGACACTTTTTACCCAGTAACTTTTTAAATCAAATAAAATAAAAGTTTTTTTTTACTTAAAATTATTGAAATAATAATGAGTCATTAGTTAAGTGACGTTCGGCGTTTTTTCAACTTTTCCGCGAAGCGAGCATTCCACAAAAGTCTCCAAAGACGTCGCCGCGTGACTGGTGAGTTATTCACCGCGACAGTCGAGTGTGTTTGCAATCCATTAGTGCGCACTGCGCTCGGCTCTTGCAGACTGCGCTTAATGATGAGTTAATCTGTTGACAGAGGCAAATATCCATCGATTTCCGATCGGATCGCGCGCGCGTAAGTGCGCGGGCCCAACATCTTGACGGCGCGGGCTGCCGGGGGACGCCAGTCAACAAATTAGTTTGTTAATTAGCCGCTTTGCGTCCGAGGTAATGAATTGCAAACAATCGCGATAATGACGCGACATGTGTTCACGCACGCAACCACACATACACCTATAACCTAACTTTAATGTATCTACGTCAACTTAACCTAACCTATTTCTTTACTGCGTGCGAAAAAATCTTGGTGCATACGTGACAAAAACTGTTTGATTTTTATTTAATTGGATTTAAAGTCGATGTGAACTCGACTCGATTGTAAATCCGTCTCGAGTCAAGTGCTGATTACAACCATTAGGATGTAATTAAGTTGTATGTTGTGTTTGCAGTGGGAATTAGATCGAAATCGATCAAATTAATCGAAAAAAAATCGTGTCGTGTGTTTGTCATCGTTCAACCTCGAGTGTGAGCACAATTGTGTGCAATTATTTATTTATAAATTAAATAATTCATCGTACTTATTAAAACGGATTTAGTTTATTGACTTAAAATGTTGGTAGGTAGGTTGGAATATTAGATAACAGTTGATTGACTGCTTGTTTAATTAGTTACCTATATATTATGAGTGTCTAACGCATTTATGGAGTGTAGATAATGTGCGTGTGTGTATTAAAAGCGAATAAGTTGCATTAAAATGCACTTTATCCATGATCGCGACCCGATGGCGCGTTGTTGCGTTGATTTTGCGAATGCTTTTCGCTGTGTGGAGTGTTTGCGCACTGGCCGATTGCTGCCGTGTGCACACAGTAGCATATGATCGATTGTTGACAATTCGGCGTTGCCTCCGCCAGTCGCCCGCCCCATCTGTCACATTAAAATTATTTTAATTGATCGTCGTTTACCAACGATGATGATATGTCAGTTATATTGGCTGTTTCAATAAGTATTAAATCATTTTTTCATCATTTTTTGTTTATTTTTTCTTTAAAAAACTACAAAAAGTTAAATATTTTTTATAATTAAGAAAATTATGTTTAGTTTTATTGTTTTTGTAGTTTTCAAAATGTTAACACTTTGTATAAGTATTAATTTGGGATTTGCATTAATGCGCGTTTGTTTTCATATCGTAAACATGCCGATGGCAGAATGGCGCGACGGATATAGTGTTTTTAATTAGCTCGACAATGCAAGCCTAATAATGGACTGATTTGGCGGTGATCATCGAACGTCATTAATATTATCGCTGTTGTTCGTTTTCATCATTCGCGCATTAATTTGAATTTTCGCGCTCGGTGCGAATTTAAATTAACGCGTTCTCATCAGCATGTTGATTACAAAATTACAATCGATTAAATTACTATTTAAATTAAATACCTATATATTTTCACTAAGTTTGATAATATTTTTTATTTAATTATCAAAATTTGTCATTGTGATATTGTTTTACTTTAGAAAACATAACAATAGAAATGGATAACGTAATCTTTCCGGTTGATTCAATGATATTTCCGAATTTGTTACATATTTAAGTATTTTCTTATTTTGCTTCCAGAATTTTTTCAATTCGTAATTTGTCGCATTGCAGCTTTTTCTAAATTTATTTATTGTCATGTGATTTGTATTATTGAGTTTTTTTGTTTAAACTCGATTAATTCCGTTTAATTGCCCTCGGCTGCAATTTGCGCCCGTAGTAAAAATCGTGCGCACTTTATTTTCATGCGATTTATTGCATTCGCACCCTTTTTTCTCCCGCTGTTATCGGTTTCCTCTCTGCTGCGATTGTTTGAGTGTGCGTGCGCAAATGGGCAAATGTCAGCCGATCGGTTGTAATTCGTTATTTTCAATTAGCAGCTCGATTGTTTTTTTGCACACGGCGTGCAATTAGCCCTCGTCGGCGCGCGTGGTTTTTCCATCCGGTCATCATCGATACGCTGGCGAAAAGTTTAATTTTGTTTTGCAGCAGCCCGGTGCTGGAGGGCCGGTGGAAAGCGATCGTCGATCACGGCTAATGGCGAAAAACGCGCACAACGAGTAATTGAGTGGGACAATTTTCGACATTCGACATGTTGGAATACTCATTCGGAATGCTAACAAATTGATGACAAATGGCGACAATTTAAAGTTACCGGATTAAAACGTGTCGTTTTTGCAGTGTTTATGTGTGTTTCGATTGTTGGTTGATGAAGAAATTAACTTTTTACTTGTTTAACAATTTAGTTACAGTATTTTTGACGTTAGAATTCTAATTTAAGTAAAACAATTCAAATATTTTGTTATTTAATATTTTTATTGACATAAAATTTTATCAGCTTCTTCAGCTAATTCCTCCAATCATCAACAATCAATATGCACAGATAGGTAGGTACTAGTACCAAGGTATCTACTACTTCTTACTTGCCTAATAAGCACTTACCATCGTCTAGTGCTTAACGCATTAATAGTGTTGTTAGTTTAAAGTCTCGTTTATGTCTCGTTTGACTTAACATTGTTGTGCGTTCTTCGCGCGGCGCGTTCGTTTTATTGTCGCCCGCGCGCATCGCGACGCTAAATGCAGAAGCGAACGTGCTCAAGGGCCCGTGCTTTTTGTTTGCCCACGCCTAACACACTCCTAACAGGTGTAGATATCTACTTCCTTTTTATTTTTCCATCTTCACCGTCTTCACATTCAAACACTCATATGCCACATCAGAACCTTTTAGGGCCACATATAGATACCTATATATTGACAAAAGTTCAAGTTAAAGTTCTTATAATAGAATAAATAAAAACGTTCAAAATTTGTTTTAAGGTGCTTTGGAAGATAAATATTTCTAAACATTTAATGATGGGTTACAGGATCCATCCAAAAATAATATTTTTGTTTTAAATTAGTCTTATAAATATGGAGTTATGGGATAGTTAAATATTTCACTATCTTTTTATTGGTTTGTCTAAAAAATTGCTTCGTTTTAAAAAATGTAGTTTATGGTATTTTATGGTAGTACCATAAACTGATACTCACCCTTAATTTATGGTAGTACCATAAAGTGATACTCTCTCTATATTCGTGTAATACCGTAACAGCTTGTTTTAATAAACAAAATTCAATATTAGCATGGAAATAATGCTGTGATAAGATTTCGGATTTACACAATTTGTGACATGTGTAACCTAATTGTTTGCGAACACGAGTCTTGTTTATTGATATTAGAAATTGATTTTCATTTCTCCCTCACGCACTCTCATGTTACCTCTATTTGCATATGGGCACCTACCAAACGCGGCGTGTGTGTATATTTTTATTCACCTCACAGTGCTTTCGGAGCTGAGTTTGGGAATGAGTTCATTTTGCGTTTTGCGCGTCTGTTTGCCCGGTATTGCTGTGCGTATTAACACATATTAACAAGTAGGTATTAGCGACTTAATAATCTCACTTTACAAATATTATATCGAACGTATGTTCGCGCGCATGGTGAACGCATAGGTACGCAATCCGGCTATGCTTTTTTTTTTCATGTTTATTTATGGGCCTTCATTTGGCCATAAGTCGAGTTCGCGCTTAATTAAATTGATTAAGCGAAATTAACTGTCATTAGTGCAGGCGATACGTGACAAACAACGGGCCATCGCAGCTTACAGTCCTAATCTATATTTATTTTGATATTTGATAAAAAAAAAATTAATTAATTTCTGTTTCTAAAAAATAAATCATTTTTATAACCCATTTTTAAAAAGTGTTGGTTGAAAAAATTATTAACTGAGCTTTGTTGCTGCTCGAGGATAAAATGTAAATGCAAATTAACGAATTGTGAATTGCGAAATTCTCGAGCAGTCGGAGGAGCTCGAAGGGTGCGAGAAGAAGCGAGTGGGGCGAACGTGGCTCGACCGTTGGAAGGGATGTTATAATTAGCACCAGATTAAAGTAATGTCTGGGGACACATTAAACGATTTAGCTCTGTTAATTAAAAGTGTAGTGCGCCGGTTTGTAGCCGTATGAGTGTATGGATGTATAAATGTGTGTGTTGGTGAGAGTGAGCGTGGCCGCCGAAGTGGGGATGACGGCGTCGGCGGCAACGCCACCCCCTGACTCGACTCTGGCCGACGGGCCGGGAGATAAATGATCGTCGGGGGCGCACTCTCGCGCTTCACCCCAAAGGCGAGCGGAGGCAAAAAACAACCCGAATAAAATCTTCCGACATTCCGACAATATTATATTATGCCATCAAAAAGTGAAATTGAAATTTTATAGTTTTTATTATGTGTGCTTTTGATTTTGTTTTGATTTTAAGCGGAATAATTTTATTTTAAGTTTAATGTTTTGCAATTGATGGCAAATTGGAAATGCGAATGGCGATTGTTTGGTATTTCTTTATTTCGCGTGGCTCGCGCGCGACCATAGTGATTAATGTAACGAAATAAACGAAAGACGAGCAAAAAGAATGTGCGCGCTTCGGAAAAAAAACGATGAAAAGAAAAAAACGCGCGGGGACACGCTTTTGTTCCGTCCTCGGCTAATTGCGCCGTTCGGGCGGTGTGTAGCGCTAATGGCCGTCGAGACTCACCACCCCCACAGCCGCCTCCAGCTCACCCCACATCGTTTGCCGTTTTAATCTGCGGGGTAATTCCGCTCAGACAGCAACTTTCGTCCGTAAAAACTATCAAAAACTAGAAAAAATCTATTCCTGTAAATCTCGTGACTTTCACATAGAAAAAAATTCTACAAATATAAACTTACGGGATATTTTCAGACGAATCTAGAACTCATTTTGTTCAGTTGTCCTGCTTTGGGCGTTGTTCTTCGTCGGTTTCATTTTGGGGCTGCTCGAGCGTGTTTCGAAGGAGGAAAGTTGGGCACTCCGGGGAGGCATAAAAGATAATTTCACCGCCTGCTAATTAAACTTAAATGAACAATCAGCACTTTTTACGACGCCATTCCCCGATGCCAAACGCGCGGCGCGCCATTGTTAACGCCCTCGCAATTGGCTTAGATTAAATGGGATTAATGATTTTTCGCGCACGCACCAGACGCCAGCCCCAATGCGCCTAAAAGGCATCCAAATGGCAGTTAAAGCGTTCTCGAGGACGAGATTGCCTATTAGTCTGTGCGTTTTTTGCAAATCGTCGCTCGACACTCAATCACTCATCGATAAAACAACTAAAAATATCACCAAGTGTTTTATTAGTTTTAGTTTTTACTTGGAATGTAGAAGATGTTGAATGTTGAGTATTCATGTCTTCAACTGCATCTTCTATTTGTGAAACGCTAAAATACAATTAGTTTCCGAGGGGTAAGCATGCGGGGGGTGCGAGTGCTTCTAATTATGTGTAGTCTGTATTCATATCGAGGCGGCGCGCTTCGGCATCGGCGTTATGGCGGCAATTAACATTGTGGTTTAACGGTAATCATAGTCTGGCGGCGCGCGGTGAGCTTCATCCCCTCGAGACGCGACTCGCATCGAAACGAGGCCATCACTGGAAACGCCAAATCCACAAAACAGAAAACAAAAACAATGCTAGTATCAAAATGGCGTTTTATTGAAAAAATCACAACGAAAAGCATAAAACTCTGGAGTTCTATACTTTTATTTTATTTTACATTAAATTTTCGGCGTGTTAGTTGAGCTGGAAATTAAGACCAAACTCAAGATCTTGATGTAGACATTAATCATCTCGCGGGAGCGTCTGGAAATGACTTAATTTAGGCTCGTTTCGTGCTTTTTGAGCCAGCGCGGCGCGTTTTAATGTTATGCAGATTAAATTGCTCGACCGTGGGGGCGGCGACGGGCGTTTTCGCCGAGGTGAAATATAATAAAGTAGATATCGTTCCGCGCACCGGTGGTGGGTGGCGTGGGTTTAATTTAGCTCTTGTGGCAGCGCCGTCGTTTGCATCGCGGCGAAGCGCGCGAGTGTCACACACGCCGCCACCGGAAGGACAGAAGGAGATATAAGGCATGCCAGGACGACCGCCCACCCGAAGTATGCCGCCTTCAGGCGAACGAGCGTCTCGGGACAGCCGTCCGCCGGCGGAATGTGTCATTTCTCATAATTGCCACGCCGGATTGTTTCATTAGCGCGCCCATTAAAACTAACGACACTCTTGCCACCAATCGCAGGACGCACGCTGCGAGCAGAATATTATATACGTTTAATTCCTGCCAAGATGTTGGAATGTCTTCTTGGCAAGTTTCTTCAGAGTGATTACTTTTTTTTGCTACCTGAACAGAAATTATATGCTTATGGATTATAAGCATATTTTTTTGTATTCATGAATAAAAATCAGAAAAACGTACACAAGTCCCACTGTCACTTAAAATGATCGATAGCATTTTAATCCGCGCGATAAATCACACTTAATCGATCATTATTAAGCCATTCCGCACTATTATTAGCCTGAGTGTATTTAATTACTTGGCGCACTTGAACTGTTGATGATTAGGTTCAAATTAAAAACTGATCCAAATCATTAAACCGTTTCTCGCATTCCTGCGAACCCCTTATATCGTTTATCTACCTAATCCGCGATACGAAATTAATTATTCATCCAAATGTTCATCTGATTTTTTGCGGACTTGTTCTATTCGCGTCATAATTTCGGATTAGACTGATACGAAACAAAGGACATGCAATTATTTTAATTTTACAAAGTATGGATTATTATTGTTAAAATAGTTTTGGTATTAGAACATTTTAGATTAGTTATAAATGGATTAAGGGATTTATTTAGGCTTAAAGTTATGCATTAAAATGTAGTTTTATGCTTTTTAGATTGCTAATTTGTGGAATAATGATCTAAGCACTTTTAGAAGTGAGGATTTACTTCTATTTACTTAATTAAAAAATGGTAAAGGGTAAATTATAGTCAAAATATATGCTTGCAATAGTTTATAATATCCTTTTCCCTTTTTATCAAACTTTAAACATTGGCGATTTGTCTAATATATTGTCTGATTTCAGAATTGGCCACATTAGTGTATACTCCGGGATAACCAGCAAGGGCGCATCCACGTCCCCAGGAGACGATGCCCACCAAAGTGTTGCCCATAGCCAAAGGACCACCGGAATCACCCTGGCAAGAGTCACTGTTAGTTCTAGCAGCGCAGATCATCCTAGGAGTGATGGCACTAGCTCCGTAACTGCGTTGGCAAGAACTCCTAGATACCATGGAGACATCTACGGCTTTCAAGGAAGTAGTGGTGGAACCACCGGAATTCTGGGCGCCCCAACCACTGACCCTTACGACGGTTCCTGCACCAGGTTCGCTGGTAGCTAAGTTAATCCTTCTGCCGGCGGTGATAACATTGTTCACTTGGATCAGCGCAACATCGTAGTCAGTTGTGCGGGAGTTGTATTTGTTGGTGTAGAAAATGGCAACAGCCTGCAGTTCTTGGCCACCGCTGTAGGCGTTGGATGAACCTACGCGAACTCGCACTTGAGAGGCAGATACTCCGGGTACGCAATGGGCGGCGGTGAGGATCCAACGGTCGGCGATGATACTGCCACCGCAACCAACACGGGAATTAATCAGAAGGACAGCCTGGTATGGGACTTGCGAGATATCAACGAAGGATCCTCCTACGATCCTGCCGGGTTCATCAGAAAAGTCATCATCTTCTTCACTGATATCACGGCGAGCGCGAGCTAAAGTAAAGGTAAGTTAATTTTTCTACCTAATAATTTATTTTTAAATATTTACCTTTAACCGCAACGACCGCACACAACAAAATAGCAACTTTGAAGAACTTCATGTTGATGTCAACTTAGTTATCCTGCGCTAGTTCCAACTATTTATATAGTATTACACAGTCTACAGTTTGAGAATTAACATTTAAAAATTTACATTGTAAAACAACAATTCAAGAATTCATATCAAATAACAAGCTGATTACAAAATGTAAATAAGATATAAAAATTAATAATGGATTAGTTTCGCAGGAAAATGTTAACATATTTTTTAGTTAAATGTAAATTTTGGGCATTGCAAGGATGTTTTCCATATGTTTACGATTCTCTGACGTAAATTTGGTAATTTATTGCTATTTTATATTGAAAACACGCCACATATTGGCACTCAGTTAATCAAAAACATTGAAAATTCATTTATTGTTTTGCAACCTTAGATGAATGGAATAAACCCAATAAATTTAACAATAGCAGAGTGGTAGTGATAATTCCAGGTCAAAATTTAAAAGAAAATCAGTAAATCGTGATTATTGATTTATTAAAATTTCACATAATTCCCTCTATAAGTCTCGAATATATTCATAATTTATAAATTCAAAGCCATAATTCAATCAATATAATTAATCTACATTTGCTGCGTCGAGTTGCCATTCCACGTGTTGTTATCTTCGTCGCTATCATGCTCATGTAGTCGATGGATATTCCCCTGCTTCTTTACAGTTGTCTCTCCAGAATATCGTTTCTTCGAACTAAAAAACAAAACAAATTATTTCATCCAGGGAATTATTTAAATTCTCCTTTTACCTACCTTCCTGCAGCAGGTGGATCCGTATCTGTGTTCGGTCGCTTGTTCTCATTCGTCGTCGGTGGTCTTGGAGCCGCGCCCCAAACAAAACTCTTCAAGTATTCCAAAAAGTTTAAAATCGGCGCAAGAACATACCAGAACATGCCAGAGAGTCCACCTGATGAATTACTATTCGCGACAGTAGTGCGTCTTACGCTTGGCAGTACAAGCACTGCCGCATTAGGCACCAATTGCAAGTCCATCAAGTTCTGACTCGCGTCGTTGACGGTAAACTCACGCTTGGGGAATGTGGTCGACAAAATAAAATCGCGCTGGTTTTCATGTAATTGCAAATAATCGATCACTTCCTGCAGACAAGCGGAGCTTTTGAAATCGTGTGTGATTTGTGAACCGTCGGGAAGGCGGAACTGCAGTCGTGCTGTATCACTGTTTACTGCGCGGACAGGCATTCTGGGTGCTTCCTTGGGAGTCGCTTGTGGTTGGGTGTTATTCATACGGGCTGCTTTTTCTCGCTTGTCTTCTTCGATTTGACGGCGGACGCGTTCGCGAGCTTCTTGATCTTCGCGGCGTTCCTTCTGACGTTCATCCATTAGGTTCTTGATGTCTTGATCTTGCTGCCAGCGCTTCATTTTCTGGACATCTTTGCCTAACTGGCGACGCTCAATTTCTTTGTTGCGCTCCTTTTCTTTTTCTTCTTCTTGCTTTTCTTGACGTTTCTTAGCGATCAATTCTTGAGCGAGTCGAAGTTTCTCTTCTATTGAGATCTGGTTGTCTGATGTTGAAGGTGCTACTTGTAGGGGTTCATTTGGTGGTTGTTCTTGTGCAGGTGCAGGTGTTGGTGCTGGAGTGAATGATGAAGTTTCTTTCTTCTCTTCATCATCAAGCTCCATTGGGACCATTGGTTGCCCACCATTCTTAACAAGAATCTGATTTATTTTCTTAGCCATATCTTTTGGTGTTAGTGATGCATCTGTGATAATCTCTAGAGGTGCGCCTGTCTTGCCAATGAAGTAAATTGATGGTGCTGTTGTTTGTTTATCTGACAAATAAAAAATATACAAAGATTTACATTATTACTGCAAATTTTATGCTATAAAATTTAATTAGAGTACTGTCAGGGTGATAATGTGACTTACAAATCTCAGAAAATTGCTGATGTGTGACACTATCCTTTTCAACAAGTATTGCAACAAAATTAGAGCTGTTTAACATTTTTGCAACTTGTGGTGCGTTAATCGTCGCAGTCACTTGCTTGCTTTGGTCATCTTTGCCTGAAAATCAATTATAAAATGTGATTTATTTTCGTATTTGAAAGATTGCTGCAAAATCACCTTCTATGTATACAACAAAGATTGATCCATTCTTGCGGGATTCTGTCACAGCCTCGGCGATACCTCCTTGATACCACTCCATTTTAACGAGTTGAAGTAAATCACGAGACAATTGGTGGCAATAATGAATGAAATTTATTAAAAATGCTATTGATACACGTAATTATTTGCCCACAAAGAATGACAAGTCGAAATAGCCGAGTAACCTATGCAAGTAATTTGACTTGGCCACCGTCAAGGTGAGATTTAGGGCGCAGTGTGATTTAAATTTAGGGGATTGTACATTTCTGACATAGTCAGTATGTACGGTTGGCAACCATTCATGTTGTGATGTTGCCTATTCGCGCAAGTTTAGTTTGGTTTCGCTTTTATTTACATCCACTGAGTGAGGTTATTTGTTGGATTTAAGAATCACTCTCCAGATTTCGGAAGTGGAATAAATAATTTTAATTGTATGTTTATACGAAAATTAACATATTTTTGTGTTATAATAAATGATTATACCTATTGCAGATTTATAGTTATAAAGAATAAATAGCCATGGCTGATGTGCGCGATATTATGGACCTGGAGCAGCCTTCTGCTCAAGAAGTGACGCGAGAATCAATTATAGGATCTGACAAATTGAAAAAACGTCCTCAAAATGTGCAAAAAATACCTCGACGGCCTGAAGGAATGCATAGGGAAGTGTTTGCTCTGCTATACAATGATAACAAGGATGTTCCACCACTATTTCCATCAGATACAAGTAATATTTGTTTATTTTTAAATATTTACTTAATGTAATTAAAATATTCCTTGTATATTATACTTAATATTCTATATATGATTCTAAATTGATTAAATACTTTAGCTAATGGTTATAAACAGACCAAAATCAAATTGGGCATGAGAAAACCACGTAAATGGAAGTGGATGCCATTTACTAACCCTGGAAGAACTGACAATGCAGAGTTTTATCATTGGAGAAGGCCAGCTGATGAAGTTACAGGATATCCTTTTGCCAAATTTAATAAAGTATGAGTTCAGTAATATATATTTGGAGGTATATGAATATATTGTAATTGTAGAAAGTTGAAATATCAGAGTATACTGATGTGGAATACAATGAACACCTATCTAGTGAAAATTGGAGCAGAGATGAAACTGATCACCTCATTGATTTAGCAAAACGATTCGATTTGCGTTTTGTGATTATGGCAGACAGGTATGACACTGAAAAGTTTGGTAAAAGGTCTGTTGAAGATATCAAGGATCGATATTATAAGATTGCTGGGGTTTTATCTAAGGTGAGACTGATTAATAGTCATTTCACTTTAAAATGATATATCTTTGATGTATGTTTTTAGTTACATGGTAAAAAAGTGTACACATATGATGCAGACCATGAAAAACGAAGGAAGGAACAACTTAAGAAATTATATGAGAGGACAACTGAACAGGTATAATATTTGTATTCATATCTGGATTATGTATAACTTTTTTTTGCGTTGTCAGATGGAGGAGGAGCAAATGCTAGTTGGTGAACTCAAGAAAATCGAAGCTCGTAAGAAGGAACGCGAACGTAAGACCCAAGATTTGCAGAAGTTGATTAGTCAAGCTGACAGTCAGAGTGAAACACCGCGCAAAACAGACAAGAAGCTTCCGAAGAAGAAAATCTCGAATCCATCGCGTCCGTCCAAGGTGGACACTACAGTAATTACAAAAGTAAGAACACGTTCCACGTTTTATGAGTTTGCATTGATATTTTGTTTAATGCAGGACACTTTTTGTTGTAGCAAATTTTACAAGCAGCGGAAGGCACCGGCATTAAGTTTCCGGATTACAAAAACAGTGGTGTTTCTCTACGTTCGCAACGCATGAAGCTTCCAGCGAATGTCGGTCAGAAGAAAGCCAAGGGACTAGAACAAATGTTGCAGGATATGGGAATGGGCAAGTTATTTATAATTCAAATCATGAATTGTTCTGATTGTTTTGTTTCTTTATAGAATTAAACCCAACTCCTACAGAAGAAATTTGTCAGAGTTTCAACGAATTACGCAGTGATATGGTGCTCGTAATGGAGTTAAAGGCAGCTCTGACCACATGTGAGTTTGAACTGCAGTCTTTGAGACATCAGTATGAGGCACTTGCACCAGGAAAAACCTTAACTATTCCTGCTCAATTGATGCCGAGTGGTCCAGCAGCTGTCGATCGCGATGTAGATGGTGTTAAGACTACAACCGCAGAGATTATTGATGTGGTTGGCTCTCCAGGTACACCGAATCCTCCATAGATTAATGTGTTTCATGTAATTTGAGTTATTTTGTATTAATCTGATAAATATCTGCTTAAAATCAACTTTAAAATAAATGATCTATTTAATAAGCAATTTTTGTGTTTCAATGGTCGGAAAATTGGAAAACACCCTATATCTTCTGCACCAAAGATGTAATTCACGATTTCTGACTAAAACTAACTAAAAATGCCTCAAAATGCCTATTCTGTGAATTTGTGGCGTTTTTCTTATTCGTGGAACTTCTTTGTTAAAATTATTTTGTCTCGAAAGACAGGGCCAAACTTCCTTGTTTAAATAATTTTGCCTCGAAAGACAGGGTCGAACTTATTTGCTTAAATTATTTTGCTTCGATAGACAGGGTCGAACTTTTATGTTAAAATTATTTTGCCTCGAAAGACAGGGACAAACTTTTTCACCTGAAATTTTTTCGATCGAAATACTGTGAAAATGATTTCATCATAAAAAATGCAAAACTTTCTTTTTTATGTTCGAAATTTAAAGTTGGAATTTTTAAATTTTGTTTTCGGATTCTAAACAAACATTTAATTATTATCCATAAATCCTAGTAACTTTTTGTTCTAGCATTCCTGGTTTGGGCCCTAGGATGTCTTTAATGTAATCCAGTATACCCCTGCTTACATTGTATTTAACGGCTATCTTTGAAACCAGCAGTTATATTACAAAAAGTTATTAAAATATTTTATTAATAACGATATTTCCTATGATAATCGGTAATAAAAAGTCTTATTTTCTTGATTTGTTGGATAATTAAATAAATTAAGAAAAATCTGGCGGAGGCGCCTGACATTTTAATTATTGTTAGTAAAAATTATTAAAAAGTAATAACACCATTATGTAGAGCAGCTTATAATTACCTTATTTAAATAACTTTCCGCTTTATAGGTCTAAGGGTTTGCTCAATAGACGTATTTCATCGCAGCATGTACCAGCTACAACACTTAATAACCCATTATCTCGAGAACTAATTAAGATAATCAAAAACCGAAAACGGGGTGACCTTCAGCTTTAAATTCTATAGACAATGAGATTAAATAAAAATGAATTTTTATATAGTGAAAACTGATTTTCCGACGTGATTTTCTCGGAAACCATAAGAGTTTCAGCAAATTTTCTTGCATTTTCTTCATGCGATAACACGGATCTACAAAATGGCAGATTTAGTTTTTTGATTTTATGAAGTTGATCAAAGACCCCTCAAAATCATCAAGAGGTTACACTTACCGATTTTTTGGTCTAAAAATTCAAAGTGAAGCTAGAAGAAAATGGAAAACGTTAATCTACAGAGAATTGCAATGCGATGGAAGATATCCAGTCAGTTTTCCGATAACATCAATATTTCGGAAAAGTTAGGAGAAAATTGGTACAGGCCAAATTGAACCACTTCTCAGATTTTCTTGAAACTTCTCAATCAGGTGCAAAATGATGCAAGGAATCCATTTTGGCAAGTCTTGTTCCAATATCTTAATTAGTTTTTAAGTTATTGACCATTTTCATTTATTACATAACTATTGATAATTGAAAATATTAAAGTGCTATCTAATGTAAAATTGTACCTTTTATTTAAATGTGAAAACAGTTTTCCTTTAACTCCATTAGTTTTCACATTAAGTGCGAAAAACTGGATTATTCGTTTCCTCTAACATTTCTTAAGCAAAAAATAAAATTTATAAATTTGACTTTTTTAATACAGAATATTTAAGAAGATGTGATTAGGAACTCTTTGTCTTAATAAAATTTTGTTCTAAGATGTACCGTTTTTATTATAATCACCATAATTGAATTCGCTTATGCGAGAAATCATGATTCCTTAAAATTGTAAATAGGGCCTAAACGGTCGATATTTGGAAAAATTGTTACTTAAATATTCGATGTAGAATTACATAATCTATCAGAATTCAAAATTTGAATTTAAAATTTCAATTTATAATTTTTGATATAAAAAGAGGAATCTTTCGCCTTTTTATGTCATTTCAAGACAATTTAATGTTAGACACATTGAAACGAGTTTGTTTAAATATATGGGTTTAAAATAAAGAAAAACTATATTTTCATGCAAATTACACATTTTACACATTTGAATACTTTATTCGTTTCAAAAATGATCAATTTTATATACATTTCGAGTTTAGTCATATTAAAACTTATAATGTTTTAAACATTGTATTTTTTAAATAAAATGCACAGTTATCCATCATCTACCACATATAAAGACTTTTATTAATTGTTTTAAACAAATCTTAAAATAAATTACTTTTTGCCATTCTGTGCGAGAAGAAATATGAAAAATAAGGACATATATTTTTAAATCAAAAATCTTGATTATTGTATAAATATAGAATGTCAAGTTTATAAATTTTGCATAAATCATGAGTGAATTTAATGCTGAAAAACAACTACAAACGGTGGTTTGATTGCATTGCTTTTATTGGTATAAGAAAAAAATCATAAATAAACGTCACCAGACAAAATAAAGATAATCTCCTAGCCGAACCGTTATAAATTTAGACACTTTGAAGCATCATACATGTAACAAACGTAGGATTGCAACATTCGCTTGTATTTCTGAAAGCGGTATCAGCCCTGGTAATTTATTTAAAGTAACAGTTCGCGTTTCGCCTCATTCCTCAATTTGGGATGCAACTTAATTGTAATTTTGCGTAAATTACGACAATCTTACAATATGTAACAGATGATGCGTACAGCATTACTTTAGGTCGTTTTATACAAACGTTTATCATTGAATTTACACGTTTTGCCATTCTTGTCCAACTTTTTTATACTCACTGTGCTGCGATGCAAGTAAGTAGTTATCCTTTCTTTGATAAATCTCAATTAAAACAGTGAGTACACAGCCGTGATGAGCCATCCTTTCATATGATCGAATAATGCGCAACACCGGCAGCACTTCTGACGCGCACGCCCTGCGTCTGGGGAGGTGTCAATATGCAAAAATGCGCATGCACCCTTTTGCGTTCGGCAAAATGATTCTAGAAAAAAAATATAAATAAAAATATGTACCTGTACGTAATAAAATTATTTACCCGTAGTCGTTTAATTCCGACCCGAGAAATTTGCTGGCAGTCATACAGTTCTACACGTTGCAAATTATGCAGGAGGTAAGATGCCTAACGATGCGTCGGTTATAAGCAGCTACCCAACACCGCCAGATTAAAGGCATACATGGTGATGTTGACAAATGTCGTATACCTCATCCGTAATCAATTCACAATGTGAAAGTGTCTAAAAGAAATAAAACCAATTATTTTGACTTTAAAGTGCAAACAACTCACCAAGTATTCACCCGTGGACATCCCACAAATTAACGAGAGGTGTGATCAGTAATTAAACACACCTACCCAAATCCATCTTCGAGATTACCCGCAGTTTTAGCCAGCACATGGAAACCAACATCAGTGAACTGCGAGCACCTGGTAACCCAGAGTCGAAAGATACGGACAGAACGCGCGCACACCATACGTCAGTTAATTCGCGCGCACCCGATATAGACATAAGTAGTGTAACTTGCTGCATTTTTCAGCCATAAACACAACAGCGTCATCACGCATCGCCAACACAAGCCTTACTGCTACCTTCCATTTCACCAAGGCAGCGCATTGCAAGAGAAACGGCTGCGCGATGTTACCCGTCGACAACCCTTACTGGTAAAACTTTGTAGTCGCGGACAGCCGTGAGATATCGCGTCCACGCCATTGTCAGTAATGTTACCGCACCAGCTAACGTTAATGTGTGTTTATATTAGGACATCCATCACTAATACTCTTAAGCGATTGGTCTGTAATCGTCGCACAACTGTCCAGGTTGAGCTTCTGAAGTTTCAAACAGTGTTTGGCGAGATACTGACATGTCAAGTCTGTAAGTTTTTTGCAGTCGTTTAAATTGAGATCCTCGATGTTGGGGCATTGATGCGCCAAAGTCTTAATAGAGCTGTCTCCAATCGAACGACATCCGCGCAAAGACAGTTGCCGCAGGAATCCACCACAACGGCGAGATATGTTTTCTATTATCGGTCCCTGAAGAAAATCAACAACTTAATAGAATATATGTTCAGTTGTAATGAATTTAAGATTGTTTACCTCGACATCCTTTTGAAAGTCAAATAAATCTATTCGTTGCCAATTCGAACCGTCTAGTGCGAGAATATTCCATGCTTTCGATACCTGTGCGCATCGGCAAAGCGAAACGACGTCTAAATTGCTAAAGATGCGCAGCAGGAGTTCTTTGGGCAATTTCCTGTTTATTTGTGCCTCGTCATCCGCAAATGCCTTCGTTAACTGAAAAAAATCACAGAATGAAAAACAAAATGTTTTATTTAGTTAAGTACACGCTATTAGAAATTGTAAAACACAGTAAAAAGTCATGATATATCGAAAGCCCACTTACTCCAAATTCATTTCTTCGTCCACGCGGAAAATATTTATATAATTAAGTATTTGTGTTTTTAATTATTAAAGGGGTTTAGGAGTGTAGTGATAGATCAACAATGATAATACAAAAATACGATAAATGCAGTTTATTGTGTAAAAAAGATTTATTCTGTTTTATTTGTATTACCCACAAAAAATTTTGCCCCGCGTGAATTCAATAAATTATTAAATACACAATTTAAAACTAGGGAGGCTAATTCATTATTATTTTTTCTTTAATTTCAATCAAATAAGTTTACATTCGATGTTTTATTTTCCTATTTTTCTTCTTTATAAATCTAAGATGGCAAAAAGTGAAATAAACAAAGCAATAAGTAAACAATAATAAAATTCAAAGCCAATAACACAACTAACAACACTGATAAATTAGAAAAAAACAATTTATTTGCAAAAATATTGATAATATATTACATACATATTGACATCAAGTACCAAATGTTTTCCTATTAGTGATATTGGTTTAGCTTCCGCGCGCATACAGATCATTTAAGCATTGATTTCTGGAGCAATACAAAATGTGCTATCATATCGCTGCGCTGCACATACAAAATCAGTTACACTACGTCATTTCGGTCGCTATGCGCGAGAATATTAAACCACGAAGCTGTTTATTACACACTACATTCACCATAACGCGTTAACGATGGTAACTAATTTAAGTAAATAGTGCATGCGCTTCGCCACGACGAAAATAAAATAGTTTCTAACATTTTGCCAATTAAAATGTTAATATTGACTATTCGCGCATAACTCTATATTTAAATTTGTTCATATTTCAATTACAACAAAGATTACCGGATAAAAAGACTTGAATAACAGTTGAGGAATTAGAATAAGGAGAATATGTGTAATGCGTTGTTGACTTAACGTGAGATGTTGATAACAGGTTATTATTAAGTCGGAAAGAACAAATTGAAACAAAAGATGAGTAATGCTTTTATGATCATCAAGTGTTAGTTTAGCTAAAGTCAATATTTGAAGTAAATTTTGAAAAATGAATGAAAATAATATCCCAGCTCGTTAATTATACTTGAACCATAAGAATTTAATAAAATTAGAACTGAAAGCGCAATTGATTAGCCAATGCAGTTATCGATGTTTCCCAGAAAGAAACCAGCAATTTCCAATAAGTCGTTACAGCTGTTTACAAGATCTCCCAGCGACAAGATCAACATCAGATATGATTGGTGCGAATAGAACCATGGAAAAAGGAGTGAGTGATGTGTGTATAGAGATGGTGATCAGCTGATTGCAAACAAGCGTGTTAGTAAGCATTTCATCGGCGTCGTATATTTGCCATTTAATTTATAAATAATCGAAGGATTAATCGTAAATAAAGCCTGCGAATGACAATCCAAAATTGTGTTTTCAATGCAACCAATGCCAATGCAGCTCGGATCGGAAAACAGCACGTTGATGAATGTATTATGACAGATGCACCTACATGTACGCTATTCAATCTCGCATACAATCGTACTGCGTTGTTTTGACGTCGATGCATTTGTGCCCAAGCGATTTCCTTCGTCTAGGCTGCATGCGAATACATAAGTACTCACCTCGAATTTATTCCTAGTTGCATAACTCATATTTCGCCCCTTCGGTCAACGCTAGGCCACGAGCAAACGGTCGTTCACAGTGGATTTGGGTAATAAACACGAGTGTTGATTCGATTTTTGAACTGTAAACAAATGACGACCGAAGCGCACTATGTGTCGTTCCTGGTAGGCGATAATCTTATATAAACGCAATGTCAACGTATCTCGTCGTCATGAACGCTTCACAAATGCATTATTTTATTTTGTCTTCGTAGCTACCGATGAACGCGGAGACGATGTCTGCGTTTGTTCAGTGTGTGTCGCGCTACATCACAGTGCAACGGCGTCGAACGCGCACCGACAATGACTAGTCGTATTATTCGTATTCTGTACACTGCGCTCGGCTGTTAACATGCTCGCAGCTGCTGGCTGAGTCCTGCGAGAGAAGAGTGCAAGTAGTGGTATACAGAAGTGGAAAGGAAACGGAGTATAAACGTGTGCGCGATGTGCGCGTTGTTCGAATTTACTCGAACGCGCACATTCCTGAGGTTATTTCAGTTTACTTCGTATCAAATATAATCTGTTTCCTCTTGTTGAACCCTTTGCAAAACAACATATATCACACAACAGTAAGTTAACGTGTTGTAAGAAATAATATTCTTAGTCGATCAACATGTTAAGGTGTTACAATTCAATTTGCGCGCTTGTGTTCAATTGTTTATGAGCACGATAACACACGAACTCGAACGAATTCAACCACGAACCCGAGCAAACCGAATTGAAAAACAAGCTAAAAGTAAATCCTTTGCTTGTTTATTTTTCTCCTTTCTTGGAAACATTCGAGGAATGCACGATACACCAGAATCCTTTAGAAATAACAAATATATCTAAAGAGGAGCCAATTTATTTATTTGGCTGACATTTTAAGGAAGCAAAAGTCGATTTCAATGTGATTTAATATTTACTTATATAAGATACTTGAGTTTCAGGATAGAAATTCTTTTAATTCATGTTAAATTTAAGATTTTTAATTAAATTTATTTGTTTTGCTTATATAGGGATTTATTTTCTCCTTTTAATGGTCTCGCTGGTCTGGTCCATCGACCTCGCGATCATCATTTCAACCGCACTAGACCCAACAAACGCACCAGACGCATCAGACTTCTCACACCCCCGAACGATGAACTTGAACGAAAGGAGACTAGCGAACTATGACACAGGGTCAGCTTTTCGAGGACACTGACATCCAGTGTCTGGGAGACATCGTAAAGCCTTTCTGTTTTTATTTTCTTACCAAGACTAAAGCATCGTTTAAAATTATTCTACTATATGTAATAATTTTAAATTTTACTACGCATTAATTTAATTTGAGTTTTGTTTTCTTCTTCTAACATTTACATCCAATTGTATGTTTATATTCGCGTTTTGGTGGAGTAGTTTCAATGACGGCGTGGATAGGATAACCAGTACCTATGTGACAAGTTTCAGTACAATACATTCCCGGTGGGCAAATATTTTGCCAAGGAGATATATGTGAAATCGAAGGAAATGTTGCAACAGTTGATAAATTACTATACGCTTCCATCTCTGACTTCGTACTTGGTTGATAATTTTCACTGTATTCACTTTTAAAAGCTCTGGAAAATATATTACTTTACATTTATTAGAATAACTCCAATAACTTTTACCTATGTGGAATTGTTTGCAATGGATTTTGAACCTTCTTCCATTTTCTGTTGTATACTGCCTTCTTTGTTTTCACTATTGGTTCAATCTTAGTGTCCTTTTTAGGACCATAACCCTTCCCCTATAAACAATAGCAATAATATGATATATGCAACACTTATAAAAAAATTATTTACTCCTCGAGGAACTCCAACCGAATCATAATAAGTCACTATGTCTTTACATGCAATTCCACGTTGTTGAATGACAGAATACGGAATATAATCAGCCCGTGATGTAGTCATATAAATATCGAGATTTTTCATCATACCAGGCTGTTCTGGTACCAGTGGTGGTTGCTCATCACGCCCGAATGCCCGCATTGCACAAACTCGATATGGGTTGGGTGGAAACACAAGTCTTCCTTCAAATGGTAAGGGTTTCTTTGAATAAGCTCCCTTCATTTCGGATTGAAACGGCATGATGGGCCGTGGAGGATCTCTAAATAGCTAGAAAACATTTATTTACACATTTAACAGCACTAATATATTAATAATTATGCCTAACTTTTTGCTCAAAAGTGGTCACAAACTTAACGGTGTCACAAACTGGTGGTTTGGTCATATGGTACGGGTTCTTCGAACCTGCACGTGCTGGATAATTACGAACATGATCGGACTTGTAGTGATCTTCAATGAGACGGGTAAAGTCTAGCGCACGTGCCGAAGTTGCTTGTCTTCTTGGTTTCTTGTCTGAACGCTATGTTAATGGAAATACAACGTAAATCATATCGATCAAACAAACTGCTTTTCTACCTTACAACTATGTCCAAGTTTTGGGCAACGGGGGCAATCCATGCATGAGCTTTTCGGTACGATGTACTGTATTCTAATTTTGGAAGAGCTTTTATTCCCTCATTTTTTATGTTGCCCGCCATATTTTTTTAATATTTTGATATTATGAATAAAAAGAGTTTTCACAAATAAATAAGTATAAAATGGTTCAATCGTAGACAATTATATTGTCATGTCACACTATTTGTTTGCGTGACAATAACAACTCGATATTAAATATTGCGACATATTTTTTTCAGTCATTTTTCTATAAATTTGATTTTTACACGTATTTTCCCTAATATACAACTTCTTTACATTTACATTCATGGCCCATGTTTCCATTGCACACAAACACATTGAAATTCCAAACAGTGATGGTTCTACCACCATTTCGGACGAAGAACAATGTACCCACGAGCTGTTAAAGTTAGAAATCACAGACGTTATCCCATTGGAATTTTTTATCCAATATTTTGAAGGTAGTGATAAATTACCGAAACAATTTTATAATCCTGTTGCATAAAATAGGAATACTTATTGTTATTCTTTAAAGAATTTGAAGATGAAGATTTTATCAACAGCATCAACATGATAATCCAGGAATACAAACATCTTTGCCATGAAAATGAAATATTTATACAATACCTTAAAGATAATGAACCATCAATGCTTTCAAGTATGTAAATGCAAAATCCACAAATATTTTCTTTAAAATTGTGTGTATTGTAGCTTTTGAGGAAGCATGCAAAAAAATACAAGCTCTGGAACAGTCAAATCCGCTTCTACCACGGTTTTTTGAAATGTCTGAAGAGCTTATCACAGCTGATACAATGCCATTTGTATTAGGACCACAGTAAGTTGAATTTTTTTTATTTTTCTGTTATAAAATTGATATACATTGATTTTACTGTTAATTATGGTTGTACATACTCAAGTTTTAAATTTTGTCCATCAACCAATAGATTGTCATGCACTAAATTATTCAAAATTTTACTCAAATCTTGTATATAGTCTGAATCATTCTGTATATCGGTGAACAAACGTAGTTTTTCTGCATTTGCAACGTTGTTTCGATTCGGCACTTTGCACTCATCTGCAATCGCATCAATTGCGCGGCCAACTGACCAAGTTTTTGAGACAAACACAGCTTTTTTTGCTTCACCTAATTGTTTTGGTGTGGTTACATTGAAATAAATTCTGTCAGCAGTTGGGATGCTTTTAAGGCCAGTCGCTTTGTTCTTGACGCGCATAAGTTGTACTTTCATGGCCATTTCACTCTTCTTTTTATTTGTTGCACCCTTTTTAGTTGCAGCTTCCAAATTTTCATCTAACTGTAAACATACAGTATTTTTATATGCACAAAATAGGAAAGAGAAAGAATTGTTACCTTCTGATCCACTTTAGCTTTTGCTGCATTAAATTCTGCAATTGGTACTTGCATCTTGGCTATTGCTGCTTGTTTAATTGAAGGATCTTCTTTGTAACACTCAGTAACATGTCTATGTGCTACACAAAAGTGTTGATGACATTTTTCACAAATTAGAGGTACCAGGCTCTTTTCCATACAATCAGGATGGGAACAGATCCACATACCTGATTTTTTATCAAGATTTGCTACCTTAAAATGTTCTTTCATTGTAGCACATTCTTGAATATGTAGTGCATAATGCTCGGAACAGAAGACTTTGTTGCATTTGCATTTGAGAGGCAGAAAATCTAATTGTTTGCATGTTGGATCCTCACACTGTTGGCCAACACTTGGCAATTCCATGTTAATATTTATTTGTAAAAGGATTTAAATTTAAAATTGTTGGTTTATTGGTGCTCACTAAGTGTTGAGAGTGCAATATCTGTCCACTTTTGCTCCTGTTCCTTTAGGGTCAGGTTGATATCTCCAGTATCAGCTTCAGGATCTGGAAGTTCATTCAGTGGAACATTGATATCTTCCTCTGGCAGTTTGTCTGAACGCCAAGCGTCGTCAACGAGATCAATTAGATGACTGTCGATTTGCACTAAGCTATCCATTACAACCACAATTCACACTTTTAACAAAATAGCTTATTCATTCAATGCAAACAGAAATGTTTTAGAAACTCAGAAATGACTATGAGAAACAAGCAAATGTTTAGGTTAGCTCAGCTTGTTTTGAACTAGCTGTGAATTGGAAAGAGGGGCAGGTTTTTCAAAATAAAGCCGCAACTTATTTAAAATGTTAAATAAATGTTTCCGAGAATAATTTATTTATTAATGCTTATAATGTACTTCAGAATAAATATATCGACACGTGCAGATCTTGCTGCACGATACATGGATGAACTAAGAGAAACAATGAAAAAGTTTGAAGCAAAAATAACGCGCGATTGCAAACGCCTCAAAGTACAAATTGAAGAGGCCACAATACGATTAGAAGAAATTGAAGATGCGGCTGCTGTATTTGAACAAAACGTTGTCATCGACGGTGTGGATCCAATTACCCAGCGCATACCCGCTGAAAAGTTTGTTCAATTCATGCACGAATGGATGAAAAAAGCACGTTTTATTACTGAACGAATTCGTCTCAATACTTCATATATGAAAGTCACCTATTCTAAGTTGAAAGCCTTATTTGACCAAAAATCAGAGCTTGGAATCAGTCTTTCCAACAGTGACTTCGAAGCATTACGCATTCGAAATAATCACCTGGCCGGATTAATAGAACAGAAAAACGTTCATCTAGTCGAGTTGAAGCAAATCAACGGAGCCGCATCGCTCGAATTGGCGACCACAAAGAAAACTTTATTGGGTTTACAAGTGGCGTATAATAAATTAAAGAGAGGTATTGAAACTCGCGAAAAACAACGGGAGGAATTTACCAATGAAATCATTGCCACATCAAAAGATTTGAGTGTCGTTAAAGCAAAATATCACAATGTGAAAACCATCATAGATAATTGCAAAGCTCCTGAAACGTTAGCATACCTACGAGTTAAACATCAGCATACTGAGTTGATGAGACAGCACAGAGTACTCTGTCGCCAGGAAAACTTGATGGCTATCACTAGAAGCACATATGAAATGAATCTTATAAAGTTAACTCATAGAAAAACTGTAGATCCGAAGTGGTATGAGTAAGTATCAACGTTTTGAAACCTTCAAAAAACACCACAATTATTAATATAATACTTACAGGCCTCTTCAACAAGGGGATGAAGAAGATTTCGCTGCGCAAGGGGAGGCGGCAGAAGCAATCGCTTCAGAATTTGACATATTTAAAGCAATTAATGTGAAACCTATCAAGTCCACAACCAGCGCAAAACAAGTAATCAAGTAAATTAATTAATACTAAACAAAACCAACTAGGTATAATAGTAATATTGCTATGTATTTTTAAAACAAGAGTTGGCTGTATATAAACAATTTTAAAACATATAAAATAACAGGTAAAATATAAAGGTTGAACCTAACTTTAAAAACGCGTATCACAATCTTTTGGTACACTGCGTAAAATGCGGGATGATTGCGAACCAAAACCTTATTCTAAACATCTTAATCGTCCATTATTACTGTCCGCAAGGCATCTTCCGGCTGTATTTGTAAAATCGCTAGCGTGCCATCATTAAAATCAAAACTAACTCCACCATCTATAACTAAACAAGCATCCAGACAATTGGACTTCACTTTTAACTCGCGTATAAAGCCACGGGACTTGATGCCTTTAGGTTGGGGCCATACACCAGCGGAAATTTGATCTCTAATGGTATAGCACATTCGTTTATCTTCTATAAATTAAATTAAAATCATATAAAAATGTTTTATTAACGCTTTTAAATAAACTTACCTGGGTGGAATATTAAATTGTTATTATACATTTTCGCTAAAACAGTGGCAAGACTCTCGGGTCCTTCAGTAGCGTCAATATCTAACAACCGTAGAAGTTCAGAGACACTCTGCACGGGTAATCGATTAATACTCAAATTCCATGATGTCGAGCCTGTACCAGTTGATATACATATGCCTGAACTTTTTAAATTCGTTTGCTGATCAGAACCATTCAACCACATTCCTAGATGTGACACTCGTGCGGATAGCGTTTCGCCAATAAACACCTCATTAAGCGCAAGATAAGGTAGCACTGTGCCACCTTCTTCGACTGTGGTATATTTCAAAGCATCACATTCTTTCACTTCATGCAAATGATGCGGATTTAACTTACAACCTGTTTGTCCAAACACTGTAGTTCTTATCCGGCTTCGCATTAACCATTTAAATCTTCCCTGAATACATTAATGTGATTAAATTTAAATAAAACAATAAACAAATGTGATATTACTTGCTGTAAGTTGACAATTGCTGCTTTGATATTAGATGAGAACTTTTTTGGTAAACAGAGATGACCTTCTGATCTGTTTGGATCTGAATTGAAACCTACCACCATTTTGTCTTGATTGCGCACACGACTGGCGGCAAACAGAAACGTTCCATCACCACCAGTTGGCATAACAATATCAGCCCATTCTATTAAATCCTCAGAATAGTCTGGTCTAAAGTAGATAAATAAATTTATTATTTAAACTCTTACTAAATTAATTGACAATTACCTGTTGACTACTTTAACTTCAATGCCCAAACCCTCCAACTGCTGCACCACATTCAACTCAAAGCTTTTATGTAAGTTGTGGTAGTACATCATTTTCTCAAAGTCTGTTCCTCTCTTTCGAATTCTAGTTTCCAGTTCATCCTTATCAAGTTCATTGTATCTGATCATCTCAAATTCATAATGTGATAGTTTAGAAACCACAAGGGCTTTCTGTATTTTAATGGACTCTGAATGTTGTGTAGCATTGCTGTATTTTGCTAGTTTTAATTGTTGCACACATCCTTTAAAACCTAAAATGAAGATTTTAAAGTTTTTGAATTGTTTGTAGGTTAGATTCAGGTTTAAATATCTATAACTACAGTATTTATTGAAATAAATGTTATTGAACGTTATGAACTATAGCGATTTCAAAATTTGTTTTTCATTGGGGTTCAATGTTTTAGTGGCATTTGTGATGACAGTAAGCGCATGCTAATGATACCATGATGCAGATGTGTAAAGGTCAATGTCAGTCCGTCAATCGTCGTCGATACAATAACATTTTCAGCATCGCCACCGCGATCGCTTTGCAATAATGAGAGACACTTTTGTTTTGTTTATTTACCTACTAGTAGACTCTGCAGGCGGACGCGTGTCGCATACATTGACAAGCGCTCGACGTCGTCGTCGCGACGTCGGTAGACCCGGCCGGGCGTTGAGGACACGCGCGCGCTATTCGCCTAGTCCGCCTTGTTGCTGTAATGGCACTTAACCGTGGCGCGTTGACGCCGTTTTGCAGTTTACGCTAAGCAGTGATACAAGAATTCGACTTGATTCCTGCAATCGATTTGAAATTCACTTCTTTTGAGGTGTTTTTGCACTCCATGAACAAGCCGAATTAGGTTAGACAGCTCTCCTCGCATGACATCAAGTCGCAGACTAGAAATTAAACGACGCGGCCGATATTTCGTTCGGACTGTTGATAAAAACAGATTGAACATTGTGATAATCCAGCAGCGACAACGTATGAGCGCAAACTTGTGTACTCTGATTCTAGTATTTAGCGTTTTACAAAATATTGCAATACTATGCGTTCTCAATTTAAACTTTGAAGCGATAACTGTTTAAAACACCATTAGCTATTTTTATTGCTGTGCCATTTCTAACTGCTTTAAAAAATCTATTTAAAAAATACAATAAGTTGTGAAGGCCACCAAAATTTATGTTGTGTAAATTATTACTTGAAACATAAGATATTTTTCTGGTATCGTCCTGTAGAAGATGCTAGCGTTTAATTATAAAGTATCTACAAAACTTTGAACTTTACATAATTCAAACAAATACAGTATTTGCTTTAGATATGTGTGTTAGTTGTTCAAAGATGTGTATACACATTGGTATGAGTTTGGAATAAATTATTATAACATTATATTTGTTGCAATCAAGCTAGAAGCATTAAAGGTGAAGCACATCCATTTAAAATTCAATTTTTTACGTATCACAAAAACACGCATAAAATTGGTTTTATTTTTGAATTCTATATTTTATGTAATTATGATACAACAACGTATAAAAACGTTTAGAATATGTTTAAATTATTTTTTTTTCTTTTACTTAAGTTTCCAGAAGTTAAAGTTGAGTAAATGAGTAAATGATTTTCTGATAATTTTGTTCATAGGTGGCGCTAGGATGCAAACTGCAACTAAAACTAATAAAGTGATGTCAAATATCGTTGTTTTGTAAATTTAATAGCAAATAATTTATATTTAAACGTATAAAAGTTATTGGTTGCAAGGAAAACACAACAAACTCAATTATCTCAGGGGTAACAATAATTTATTTATTAAAATTAAATTAACAAAAGAAAGAAACGAAGATAATATAATCCAAAACTCAGAACATTTTATAATTATTTTTATTGTACAATTCTTTCATTAAGTTTGCTTGTGATTGATATGACTATATTATTACTCGTTTTTGTTCATAAATTTGTATTCCAACACTAGTTTTATGCGCCAAAAATGCTAAAGTCCGTTTCTAGAATAGAGACACTCAAATGTGCAACTCTATTCCCGAACAAACATTACCATCATTTTTCAAGTATTATTTTATAATTGTTGCGAGAGTATTTGACTGGAAACAGTTTTCTTATAGTTTTTTAAAGGTTTCATTTGTGTGGTGATGCATTTATATGCATATTTGTAGGTAGAAAGTACAATCATAGACAGGTAAGGTACAATTACAAGCTAATATTGTTTTTAAATGTTACAATTTCAAGTTAAAACTTCCTAGTCAAGATACATGTTTGTTTTTTGTTTGTTTTCATTTACTGCTTTTTCGTTTAACACACCTATCATTAACATGCTCGCTCAAAGTTGTAAAAGTTTGTCAAGTTAAAATCGTAGGACAATATTGTAGGTAATATGTAAAATTAGTGTACAGATTTTAAAATTTGTTGCCGCAATCACAATATTGCATTTTTTGTGTTGAGATCTCTTGATGGTGTGCTTGCGATGCGATCTCACCGCCCCTTTTATCGGTGATGCCCATCCGACGCATGCGATATGCACTTTGCGCGAATGCGATTAATGCACCCTTTATGCGTCGAAAATATAATAAAGTGTGCACTATCAGTTTACTCAAGCGAGGTCGAATGTACCTCGGAAGCGAAATACGAATTTCCGTCGATCTGAGCACAACTGGAGCGGAAATTTGTACTTGAGTGTGTGTTCTTGGGGGTTGGGTGAGAAACCAAATGTTCGAAAGAGCGATTAATCGGCTTTCGCAATACGGGCACACGATGAAAGCGCATGAAGCAGTGCGTCGTTAGGCGCTGGACACCATTTTGGGGCGGCTGGTACAATGATGTAAGTAGTGACATGATGGTCGAGAAGATGGCGCATCATAAAAACGTGACGTTCTTATGACGGCTTGTGAGAACGGTATCGGCATCCTGTGAGGTGGACTTTCAATAGATTTAAAATTGCTGAAAGATGCTTAGCGGACGTGTTTTAGTTGCACTTTCTGGTTAATTTTACAGTTAATTTTTTTACAACACAAGAAAAAATGGAACCGAATCAAATTTGAAACAATTGAAAACAAAAACCAAAAACAGAGACATAGATAGAGAGACAGAGATGAAACTAATTGGACATAAACGCAAAATAATATGTTCCGAGTGTTTCGTAAATTTATCATTTACTGAGTGTAGTTCAATTCACACAACGATTTTTTTTTCTCGAAAACATTGACGCAAATCAGCGCAAGTGTTTTGTGTGGTTTTTGTATTATTGTAAATGTGTGTGCACTTAGCTTAGATTTGCTAGAGTTTGTAAAAAATTGTGCGAAAATATATACAAAGTGATTTTAGACTATTGTATGTTTTTTTCTTGGTTCAAAAATTATAAAATTATGCGATGTTTGATCGACACATTATTTCATTATCTCTTGAGTGAAAATCTTTGCATAATTGTTTTAGTTTATTGGTAATCATAACAAAACTCAACTTGTAAAAAATTTAACTAACCGAATAAACATAAAATAAACAAAATAAATATGTTCAAACATAAATTACTCTAATTTGATCAGTTTGTTAGTTTTCCAGGGTATTGATAGGAAATTTGGCACATTTTTTATCAACCCCCCGGATGGGAGGCGATAAAAAAGTGTCAAACTTTGAGGTAAAGTTATTTTCTTTCAAAATTTATAAATAAAATTGCTTCACTTGCATTAAATTTCCAATTGTACGTGAAGAAGAAGATTTCAGAAAGATATGGGCAAAGGAATCTAATATATTCATCCTCAAACAAACCAACAAATCAAACTCTAAACAAAAATGAAAAATCATTCAACTACGTCATCATATCATGTCAGCTCATCTCATAAGTCATGTCATCATATCAACAAATATATGTAGGTATATAATATATATATCATCAACACGAAACACATGTATTAATTTCAAGAACACTACCGTTAGTTAACTAATCAGATATAATCAGTAACAATAAAGTGTGAACTTACACGTTTCCAATCAATCAACTAAGAATAACACGAAAACCAAAACCAAAAAAAAAAGAACGAAAATGAAAAAAAGTCGAGACGCATCAACGATAAAATGTTAAAAAATTCTAAGTACTAGAATGCCAAAGAAATGAAAAATTTTAGTAAATCCAATTTGTTTCATACTGTGTGATCACAAGGTTATTGTTCAATAGGTAATTCTACACTAATAATTTCTATTAAAATGTTAAGGTGTAATATTTTGTTTTGTTTTAACAGTAGTTGTAATTTGTAATTGTGCTGTGCTCTAAGTTTTGCTAAATTTCGAAAAGTAAACGGTTTTGACTAAATCCAATTAGTGTGAGTTAATTTGGTCATAGGAAATTGTTTAAAGAAACTCAGCTTTGCAGGACGGCTTCTGTGTGTGCACAGAAATGATAGACTTAGAAACGAACAAGAAACGAAACCCTCAAATTAATTTTGAATTTAATACGTTTATAAATATCAAGTTATTAATATTGATTAAAATATTTTTAGTTGGAATAAAAAAAATGCCTTGCATCTTCATTAGATTTTACCTCAAAGTAATGTTCATCCTATTTTTTTAACACATTCTGCTTCTAATTTTGGCTGACAAAATCAATACTTCTAAATTTAATTATAATTATCAAATTTTTTTGAATGTGTAATCAAACAACGAGTGACGACTAACAAATTTGAGCTTATAATGTAAATAATAATTTGACGCTTTTAATTTTTGCTTTTCTATGTTCTATTTTGTTAGTGTATTTTTCATAGGGTTTTTGTTGCAAGTAAGCGAGTGTCTGTGATTATGTGTCGATGCTAAAATTTGTCTAAATTCACTAAGTTTTGCTTTCAGAAACAAGTAGAAGTAGTAACAGAGATACCAATCAACAGTTAGAACATATACAAATTACGAGAAGAATAGAAAAAATATATATTTCAAATGATTATGTTCAAAAAGTTTCAACTCATTTCAAATTATAATATAGACACCAAAGAGAAATTAATTTTATAGGTTCTAAAAGATAAAAATCAAAAAATAACAAAACCAAAATATTCACTTAGTATTGAGCATTTGGTTTTTCTGGTGAAGCTGTGCAAAACGCAATGCGATGTATTCAGTGTGTTTTATATCTCAGGTGAAATCAAATCAATAAAAAGTCAAACTACAGGTCTGTTTTAAAAACATTACCAAGTTAACTTGTGATGACATACTAAATCAGAAACAAGCGCGGCAAGAATAAAAATAGAGCTAAGGGCTTTTTTACTGCTATTTCTATTTTATCTGTTTTTCTACTTTGTTTCAACGAAATTATTTACGTTTTGATGATTTTTCTTTACGCTTCGCAGGTGAGAATTCGAAACCCCAAATATTATTTTTTGCGTTCTACTGTGAACTGATAGTAGGTAATCATTAGAGGCTTAATATAAGTGCAATTGATATTTGACAATGACTTGAATAACACTAGCAAGACACACCAATTTGATGACGTAATTCTTAAATTAAAATAAGATTAAATAAGCAGTGGGGGTATGTGTATGTGGTATAGTAAGTTATTACTTTAAAAACATTTTACGTGACAAAATTGTTAATTAATTTAAAATTTAATTTTTTAATTTGAATCTTATAAAATGGACCGAGCATGATACTTCCTTTGTTCTATATACATTTGTCGTTCAGCCAGGTACAAATATTTAAGTATTTTAAAACTCATTGCCAACATTCTCAACCGTTTTCCTTCAATTATTATGTTCGCGTGCGTATCCCTACTAATTCAATTGTTAATTTATTATGTTAATTGGTGTCGTATTAGAAAATCTCTTATAAGTAAGTGTAGATGGTTAGATTTGATTTTTTTTCGAAAACAAAAATTATTGTCTCTAAAATAGGTTACGCCAAGATCCGAATAATAACTGCCAAACATTATTAAACTCTAGATTTAAATACTGTCGAGCCATTAACGCGCCAATCATATTCTTAATATCGTTAAAATTTAAAGCGTCCAATATTTAAACATTAAATAACAATATTATAAATATTTGATCGATAAACAAACTAATTTTATAACTCGAAATGGAATGTAATTATAATGTTTCTTATTCAACGTTCGCGGAATGTATATTTTCATTAAATATTCAAATTAATTGATTGCAAACGGAAAGAATGAACTGAAAGTAATGCATGTTGCTGATGAAAACTTGTGTCAGCGCTATCAATAGCATTTTAATTTTAATAGCTTGCCACTCTTAATTAATTAACTATATATAATCTACTTGAAGCGATCAATGTGTGTAAGCTCATTGTTTCTCTGATTATTCGAGTGTGTTTGGTATCATGACAATTTCAATGTGTTCGGTTATGTCAACTTGGTTGCCTACTTCAAATTATATATTTACAAATGTGAACGATGTGAAAATCTTAACAAATTGTGTATCGTGAGAAAATATACTGAGAGTTTTAATTCTTTTCACATGCAATTCATTGACACGCTCAAAACATTTTCTCACGTGTAATTTAAACTAGTTCTACTAAAATTAAACTAAAAGCTACGAGTGTAATGCCAGGGTATTATAAATGTTTGTTTTTCAGCTGTTATTGAATTTACTTGATGTAAATTTTATATATTTGCCTGTTAAACGTTTATAATACCACAGGCGTCAATGGTATTTAATTATGCACATGCAGAATATCAAACCGCGCATCAAAAGTCAAAATTATTCGCCGCACTGCAGCCTACAGTAGTGCTTGCTTGCATGGTTGCATAAGTCATCTATCAATACGTATATATCATATAGATCACGCCAGCATATTCAATACGAATAAATCACCAAATCAATCATCCAAGAAATGCAAATAACTAAATCAGGTCTAATAGAAAGATGGGCAAAAGTGGGTTGGTATCGTTTGTCGAAACATCCAGTCCAAATCGTATAAAACCACCGGCCAAATTTTGCCAATCAATTTTTCTATTTAAACAAACGAAATTTAAGGTTGGAGGTGGAAGCGTGGCCAGAGGGCGCCAGTGTATCATCGGTCAAGCAAACGTCGCCCACCGGCCAGCAGCGATTGGGATGCGAGCACAGTTAGAAGGACGGGAAGGAAGACGACTGCCGCCGTTGGCGGAATCGATTGTTTGGGTGATCTATTGCACATGTCCTCCTCACAGAAGCACATGTGACCAGTGCCGCTACTTTCCATCATGCACACGTGATCGACCATAAAGAGGTTGATCTGTAGTTGCGACGTGCAGGTGCGTCGCACCACTTCGTAAGCTGAAATCGTAAGTTAACGCCAGCACATTATTATCATCCTTATTATTATATCGTGTCTATTTCAAGAGAAATGTACATTTATACATTATTTGCATAGAAAACCTGTTAAAAAGTTTGGTTATGTTTACTTACGTGTCCGAGCATGTCGTACCATCTTAACACAGCACCCGTTGCATGTCGTCAGCGGTGGCTGATCCTTGGGTAGCAGGGTATAGTTGAAGGGGTCCTTGCAGCGTGGATCGCTCCAGCTGTCGCATTCGTAGCAGAAGATCTGGCGGGCTGTAAGCATGACGACGGTGGCGCCGCGGGTGGTCGGAAGACCCCCGCAGAGCGTCAACATTAATATGATACGCACGCGCAGAACAAGCAATGACAATCAACGTGCTTTAAAACACAATAATTTCTCAACACGCACAGTTTTGCAAAGGGTAAATTAACAAAAATACATGGATCAATATCGCATAGAAGTAGAAATAAAGCAAAACAGGACAATTCAATAAATATGCGAGGAGTTATAGCACACAAATTTAAAACAATTCAAATATACGCAATAAAATTATTAATTTTGTTTTGTTTTATGAAATTTTAATGATTTCTGCGTATATTTTTGAATTGTTTGTGGTCATAATGTGTCTAGGAGACTGGTAAACTTACTTTGGCATTCCGCATGTGTTAATGTTATTATTGCTAGCAATATCGCTGTAATTTTAAGCAAAAGATCATATATTATTAATTACACTGACTACGTAAGAATTAGATTCTAGAACGACAGAGAATGCAAATTGTTGATACAAGTCAGAAATTTCAGTTTTCAGTCAGATACAAGATTCTATCCGTTAGTTCTCAGGTAATTTTAATTAGATTAGATTTAGATATCTAGATGGCGTTCTACATAGTATTAATGGCGATGTACGATTGCTACAATTATTTTTATTGCCTGTATACTGCTGTTATTTACATCTGCACAGCGGCTGGTTATTCGTTGACTGATTTGCGTTTACGTGCATTAATTTGTTTCTGCCGTGTTCGCCTGGTGCCGATTATACAAATAATGATGCTCAATAGAAGGAACGGGATCGTACGTAAGTATTTAATATTTATTTTAAGCGTAAGACTCACAATTGCTTCGTTTACAACGCGACAAGTCACCGAACGCGAATAACGTCATCAATACAACTGAAAATGAATTGTTTTTAATAATTAACTATGGAAATTTTATGTGCGGTGGTATGTTCCATTATTTTAATGTGTTTGAACTTGATAGGTTGTTTATTAATGCGTCAATTTTGATGTACACGCTGCGGAGAATTTCAAACAAACATTGGTAGCAGTACCAGTTTGCAAGTTACTTAGAAAACAGATCGCGTGTGGAAATTTGCACACCGCAAATGCACGAAAGCTAAACGCAAGAATGTGAAGCCTAAACATTTTTCGTATACACAAATTTCAAAGTATAGCTATTTATTTTTTGGATGAATTGCTTCAGTAAAATCTGATTTCTTTGATTTTTTTTGAACTTGTATGGAATACAATCGTTTTTCTAGTATTTTCTGATAGTTTTTAGGTTTGGTTCAGTTTATGTAGGCAACCAAACGTTGGCTGTAAGCCAAATTCATAATTTTCACGTACTTTATTTTATGTACACTTTATAGGAAATCTTTCTTGCCCGTTTTTAAAAGGATAGTGTAGCTTCTTTATAACATGACTCGTTATAACAGCAAACTAAAATATTCTCAGTTCTTGTAACTTTTTTATTATTTTTTTATTTATTTTGTGCCATTGGATTTCCAACATCCCATTAAACACAAAAAAATTGTTTCAATACTCAGCAAAATTTTTGAGGTGCAGAAAAAATACCGATCCGCGCGAAATCCTAAGTTACTGTTTATTTCTTAATCTTATACGCTATAAAATGTCATGTCACGTGAACGTTATTATAGTCTGTCTGCATATATCTTGACGAATATACATATCGTCGACGTATTGTCTACATAAAGTCTCGGGAAGTTTTATTTTTAGGCAAAAGCTATTTTCATAAAACGCGCGCTTGAGAACTTAACCCGAACCTCCGCCAAACTCGCACGTATTTAACACTTGAGATATTAACCATATTAATTTACAAATCACTAACATAATTAACGCCATCGCAATAAATTTATACCCCAAAAAACCTATTTTAAAGGTTTCCAAGTATTTTCAAGTGCAACTTTTATAGCAAATAAAAAATATGAAAATAAAATGTTACCTGTAACAGCGATGAAATATTTATAATATACATTCATCCTTGATGATCCTTGCGATCTGTCCAGTCGCTGGTTCCTTTCAAAATCAATTATATTGATTCATTTGTAGTCCAGACGTTGCAAATTGCACTCCTTGAAACTAATCCCAAAAACATTCGCAATTAATTAAACATGGTGGAGGCGACCAAAATTCTTCCGCAACATTTTGACATAAACGAGCAAGATATGCATGCGTGTTAGCACACCCACTTTTCAAGGCTGTTATCCGTTTATCCTTGATTCGTCCTTGCCACACCGTCAAGCTCTGCTGTTGCTCCACTTTCCACTTTTAATCTCGGTGTCTGTTTTAATTCCGCACACTTAATTAATATAATTATTTCGGAAACACATTCATTTTACCAATGAAGATGTCAGGACCATCAATATGATGATGGTAAATTAACTTATTGCTGACGGGGCATAAGAACACTGAGGATTTCACATTTTTTATTATTTAAATAAATTATTATTAAGATGGTTGTAGATTGAGTAGAACCAAGAAGTGAACGGTGGTTTCTTGGGGAAGGTTAAAAGTTTAAGTTTAAATTGTGTGGTTTGATCACATCGAAATTAAATATTGCGCTCTATCCTGTATAAGGATTGATTCTGGATATGTATCGTTCGTGTACGAATGAGCTGCGAGCGCTGGTCGCTTGCCTTCCGGGTTCACAAGCCGCTGGTATCCTTTCGGTGACTTTTCTCGGCCGTTGGGCAACGCGCAGTCTGATGGATTCAGGATGCGCCAAGGCGGACCATTTAACCTGGTCGCGATGCGCTCTCTGCGGTGCGGTGCGGATTTGCGCCGTGCAAATGCTGGTGGAGCGCTGTCACTGCGGCACTGGTGCCCGTGTGCCCGAACGTCCTGAAAGCTTCCGTGTTTGCCAGATGAAGCGCTAGCGTCGACCACCGAGCGCCAAACGCTAGCATATTGATCTATTTTCTGTCCTGCGTGCTCTCGCTCGAGCTTTATGGCAGCGGAAAATATTGGGACCGCGGCACGGCAGGAACGTCAACACCGCGGTCGGTAGTGCATCTTGGTGCGCAAGAATTTAATTGCGCTAGAGCGCGTATGCGATAAAACTGCGAAATATGTATAAATATTGCTTTGGTTCTGTTTTTCAGTAGGAAAAGCATGAACATTGCTTTATAAAAGTACATACTATAGTTTTACGACATACGAAATAAGAAAAACACTGAAGCTATTTGTTTTTTGTTGCGATTGTTAAATTTTTATAGGAATTGTTTGGTTTTTCCTAAGAGTTTGCCAAAATAAGGATATGGCGTAAGGAGCAAATAAAGGACATTTTCAATTCTGTTAACTGTTACATGAAAAGCAACTGGCCCATTAGCTCAGTTGGTTAGAGCGTCGTGCTAATAACGCGAAGGTCGCGGGTTCGATCCCCTCATGGGCCATTCCTTTTTTATTTTTCCTAGTTGTTTTTACTAACCAATCTCTATATAAATCATAATTTCGAATGTCTGTAGGATGTATTTCTCTGCAAAAGCCTTTATTTAAGGTTTATTAGTGCGTTATATTATTTACACTAAAATTTAAGTGTTAAAAAAACGAAAGTTTGCGTTAAATCTATAAATGTTACGTTTTCTCTTTTGCTTTCGTAAGTGAATCACATATCAAAACAAAATTATTGTTGCTAATGCTAAAATATATGTACGACAGATTGCATATTAAAATTTATGATTGTCTCAATTGTTGATATCATAAAAATCTAAAAATAAAGCCTGATAAATTCCAATTTCGAACTTGTTCAACCCAATCCCCCCTTTCAATTCACATATGACAAGAAATGACAGCGCACTACACTTGCTTCACCCACTGTTTTATAGGCTAATTGCTTCGTGCAAAGAAAGAAACAATAACAAATCTGTGACGAATCACCCTGACTTGCCAGTTCTTATCTCATTCTCCAACTCCAGCTGTCCTCTAGCGTCAACTGACGGCGTATCAGGCGTTGCGTTTGCTTGAGGCTAGGAGTGGTATCAATGTTGTGGGCAAAGTTCATCGAGGAACGCGCATTTCACCAGTCGCGTACACAACTAGCAGTTGTCGTCCGCAACATTGTCATGCTTGTGCATTGCGTGTGTAACTAATCCAGTGCTACTGAGAATGACGACGCCGCTGAAGCCATGGGAGTCGTCCAATGGCTTGGGAAATAAAGGACAAATCATCAGCAGCTCACAGCTACCAGCTGGCTTAAGTGGATTGAGAACAACTACAGCTGCACCACCTTCATTACCACCTAGACCACAAAGTTTAAACATGGGGAGTTATGGAGGATATAGTTCAGGATATTCACCTTATTCATGTATGTTTTTCTTTGATTTAATACACATTAAACATGACATATGACAATTCAAGATTTGTAGACATTTGTTGATTAAATTAATGTTGTAGCAATGGGTAATTCATATGGCAGTTATGGATCATTAGGGTGGCCTGGAAGAAGTTTATATAGTGGTGGCTATGGTAGTGGATACAACAGTTATGGAGGTTATGGTGGATATGGTGGCTACAGTGGTTCCTATGGATCATCCTATGGAATGTATGGAAACAGTTATATGAATGGAATGGGTGTCAGAGATGATGCTGAGAGCAGGTAAAATTAGTTCCTGTCATAACATATTACAATATAAACTCCAACTATAACTATTAATGTTTGTAGATTTATTCAGTTTGCTGAAGAGAGCTCAAGAAACACTTTTGCAAATGTGGAATCAATTGTGAGAGCATTTAATGGTATTGCAATGATGTTAGACAACACATTTTTTGCAATGACGAGTTCGTTTCGTGCGGTGCTCGGTGTTGCGGAAAATTTCGGACGACTTCGTTCGATGTTTGGTCATATTTGGCATGCAGTGAATATTTTCCGGTTGTTCTCGTGGTTGCATAGGAAACTCTGCGGCATGATGGGCGTCAAAGTACCACCGACTACGAACAACTTGGCGTGGAATGAAGCAGTTAGTGGGATCACAGCAGAAGCGGCGGGAAGTTCTGGATCCAGTTGGCCCACTTTGGCTTTCTTTGGGATTCTCATCTCTGCACCTTACTTCATTAGTAAATTGTTGCCAAAATTTGAAGGTGAGTGTTTATTGACTTTTAATTAATATAAAATTATTAGTATAAAAATTAGTATGTTTGCGATTATTGAAGCTGAAAATTGAAAATAGCGAAAAATATTGCATTTTAGCTGCATTAGGTACTCTTTATTGCGTGTCAGTTTCTTAATTACTTTTCGTATTAGGAGATGGAATAGTAGGTTTAATTTAATCAACGAACAATATCTTTTTTCCAACTTTATTGACATTCAACTATACTAATATTATTTGCTCTTCTTAATTTTGCTCTTAAATTGTTTTGATGGTTTAGCATTTTTTACATTTTTCACCGCTTTTCCTGCAGACTTTATATTCTTCTGAGTATGCTTCCCCCCTTTCAACATTTTTTTCGCAGCCCCTTGTTTCTTCTCATTCAATTTCTTCTGTTTTCTAAATTGATCAATCAATCTCTTCTTACCCAGTGCTTTGTCAACTCTTAATCTTTCATCATAAGGAACAGTCAGAATATCATCCCTGGTCATGGCGCTCACAGCCATTTGTTTCTTTTCTTTCTTGGAATGCTTCTTCATATAAAGCATATAATCAGGCACTTCACATCCAGATTCTTTTATAACATGAGCAATGCTTCTCAAATTCACTGTGTCATCTAATGTAAAGTAGGTAATCGCTTTACCTTTCATACCAGCTCTGCCTGCACGACCAATACGATGCACGTAGGAAATAGAACTCGGCGGAAAATCATAATTAATGACGAGATTCACACCTTTGAAATCAATACCGCGAGCCATAAGTTCTGTACAGATGAGCACCCATATTTTACCTTCTCGGAAACTTTTCACGGTGTTCTCTCGTTGAAGTTGTGTGCGATCTGCATGAATCGCATCGACATTAATGCCATCGTATATCAATTCGGAAAAGAGTTGCTGGGCACGTTCTTTACTTTGAACGAACACCAACACAGGCGGTGTGAGTCCCTTCCGGACCAAGTCGCGAAAAGCAAGCAATTTGCCACTTTCATTGCCAACAAATTCTAAGTGCTGTTCAATGAGGTCTGTTGCAGTATTCCTCTGGCCAATGGTTACTCTTACTAAACCTTTCATGTTTTTCACACACCATTTTGCCACCATTGGTGTATATGTAGCGCTAAACATTGCAATTCTCTTAGTTTTCAATGTGCAAGCATCCAAAATCTGCTTCAATTGATCTTTAAAACTTCTCACACCATCTTCAAACAATTTGTCAGCTTCATCAATTACCACCCATTCAATTGTTCCCAAGTTTAGCACTTTTTCATCTTGATTTAGTAGGAAGCAAAGTCTATTTGGTGTGGTTATTAAGATGTCTCCTATTTTTATCATGTTAACTTTATTGATTGTGAATGGTTTAAGTTTTCTACTGTCAGCTAGATGCATGCATACTTTCTGGGTCTGAATTGCTAATTCTCTGGTTGGACATATAATTAATGCCCTGTAACCGTTTTTACTAGGTTTTCCTAGTGCTTCCAGTAATGGGAGCAAAAATGCAGCTGTTTTTCCAGAACCAGTAGGAGCACATGCCAAAATTTGTCTGTTTGCAAGCATCAGTGGAACTGCTTGCATTTGTATAGGTGTTGGATCTTTGTAACCTAGCTGAACTAGGTTTTCAATTAAATCCTGCCCTATTTTGAAATCATTAAAAGCTCTTGCTGGTTCTGGGATATGTCTGCCAACCACATTAATATTGTGAATATTTCTAAAACGATTTACCTCTTCTTCAACTCTAAGTTCTTGTCGACGTTTTTCATTTTGTAAATCAGGTGATTTTCTTTTCTTATCTGGTTTATTTCCAGTAGATGTGATATCTCCAAGGAGAGTAATGCTTGTGTTCTGTGTATCTCCTGTTTGGTGTGCTGATGATTCTGTTTTGACTTTCACTTTATCATCAGATTTAATGATTGGAACCACTGTTGCTTGATTGCTGTTTGTGTTTTTCTTGGTATATTTTGCCCTTTACTTAGTTTTTGAAGATATCGTATGCATCCATGATGAAATGATTCGAAGCATGTGTCTGATGTGTTGATTATGTTTGAAGGTTACGTTTGATTGCTGAACACAGCTCTAAAAATGTGTTTCATGGTATGCAACCAATCGTACATCTTGCCTTTGTAACATTTGAAATTGTAATTAGTAATTATTATGAATTACGACATGGAAAACACTGCAACTGCAAAAACTTTTATTTTTAATATTAAAAAGTCTTATTTATTTAATTTTTAGATAAATGCAACCCACAGAAATGGGAAACAAACGGAATTAAAGCAAAGGCCGTGTTTGATTTTCCCGCAACATCACCAAATGAACTGACTCTGCACACCAACGACGAGATTACTCTGGCACCCAAAAATGTACAAGAAGAAATGCGTCTAAGTAATTCTGGCTGGGCATATGCGACCTGCAATGGCCGTTCGGGCGTCGTACCTTTAAATTATATTGTTATCGTTAAGAAAGTTTCACCTTCACAACCTGTTACTTGTACCTCTAAATCTAATCCTACTGATCCTGTTTTCAACAAACCTATCTATAAGCCACAAGTATCCGCACCAGTCACGCCCGTATCAGTTCTTTCTAATTCCAATACGAATAGCACCAATAATACACCAAGAAAAGTGCAAAAACGTGTTAGTTTTGGCGAAACTCAAATTTTTGATACAGAGACCAATCAAACTTTTAGTCAACCAATTCCTGTTAATTCTGCCAAATGTGAGGACACTTCTAATACAAAATTAGATAACGTAATCACGTTGCCGGAACATGAAACAGAAACTGTAATTGAAGAAAGCAAACCTGAAACTGTGTGTAAAACCGAAACTGTTGAGACCACAGTTAAGACAAAGCCTCAAGTAAATGAGTAAACAATAATATCTCTGTTACAATAACGATGGATAAGTTTAACTAACGTTTTAATAGTATTTTATATTTTACATTATACATATTGTACATGTGGGCATGGGGGCTGTGGGGGCAACATTTTTTAATAATTGGAATGCTTGTAATTGAAACCAAAAATTGTTTAAATAAATATGTTGTTTTGTGTAAATAATTAAGTATTTCCCTAGGGATAAGGGGACTCTAGATGAAGACAAGCAATTACTTTATATTGACACATATTTATGTATATACTTTTTGTAAAGTCTTTTAATCTGGACGGTGAAGACCATCTGAATAAGTTTGGGAAATATCTTTATATTGCACCCAATAAGACAATTCAAATAATAATTATAATAATAAAATATGAATTATGGTTTTTACATACCGCAGTTATTGGTTGATAGCCAAATAGTAAGTAGCTTCAATTAGCAACAAAATGGCACTTATGTGCTGCAAAAAATTAATTTTTGATTGTTTTAGGTATTTTGAAGCTGAGCCCGACATCGTATGAGAACCATTCTTGCACCAGATTGTAAGTATTTAATTTCTTTATCATTTTCAACCATAACTTTTGTGATTAACCCATGAATTAGTGACGAAAATTGCATTTTTGTGTTGCAAAGGACTACTTTTTGCTTGTTCTAGGTGTTCTGCACCCGAAATCGACATCGTCGCAGAACCATTCTTGCATCAGATTGTAAGTATTTAAATTCTTTATCATTTTCCTAAATAAGTTAAGTGATTATCTCACAAATTGGTTCCAAAAATTGCATTTTTATGTTCGAATGACTAATTTTTGCTTGTTTTAGAGATATTGCATCTGGGTTTGACATGGTAGAATGACCATTCCTGCATCAGAATGTAAGTATTTAATTTCTTTATTATTTTCCTAAATAACTTTTGTGATTATCTCACAAATTCACCCCCAAAATTGCATTTATATGTTCGAAGAACTAATTTATGCTGGTTTTAGGGATATTGCACCTGAGTCCGACATCGTAGGATGACCTTTCTTGCATCAGATTGTAAGTATTCTATTTCTCTATTGTTTTCATAACTAATTTTTGTGATTAGCTCATGAATTAGTGTCGAAAATTGCATTTTTGTGTTGCAAAGGACTACTTTTCGCTTGTTTTAGGTGTTCTGCACCCAAAGTCGACATCGTAGCAGAACCATTCTTGCAGCAGATTGTAAGTATTTAATTTCTTTATCATTTTCAAACATAACTTTTGTGATTAGCTCATGAATTAGTGGCAAAAATTACATTTCTGCGTTGCAAAGGACTACTTTTTGCTTGTTTTAGGTGTTCTGCACCCGAGCCCGAAATCGTAGCAGAACCATTCTTACATCAGATTGTAAGTAGATAATTTCTTTATCATTTTCATACATAACTTTTATGATTATCTTATGAATTAGCGAGAAAAATTTACTTTTTGTGTTTCGAAGCAATGATTTTGCTTGTTTTCGGGGTTTAGCACATGAACGCGTCATCCGCGTAATATCAGCGAGGTCCCTAAAGATGTAAACTTTATTTCTTCATGGCGTATTATTCTAATGTCGTCGGAGATGTACCTGTAGAACGTGTATTGTTAGATTAATTGTACGTTTCGTACGTTATGTCGATAACTTGTAACTGTTTGTTTACATTTAGTTATTTTGAATAGTTTTAGGATTATATATAACATGGATAGTGTTTTATTAATTTTCGTTCAAGTGAGTGAGATAGAAATATCAGGATGTGGTGATAGCAGGTGAGTTAGAATAAGACAGCAATACTGAAGTTTCATGTTCACTCCATGTTTTTATATGATCTGCCGAATTTTCTACACTTTATTTATGTTGTCAATTCGACCTTGGCATGCGCAGCACGCTGAGCGCTGCCATTTGAAATTTGAACAGTACCGCACCGGTCGCCGTGTGTCGTCGGCTATTCGCTATACTGCTCAGTACATCTTGCGCTGGCGTGTTGGCCAATGTTGGCTGTTGTTTTTTTCTGTTTAGTCAGTCGGTAGTACGCATTTGTGGTGTGTGCACGTGTTCTCTTCCTTCTCCGCCACTGTTCGTCGTAACTGTTAGTATTTCGGGCGATTTTAATACGGTGCGAACCTTATAATTGTTTAGTCGTCGATTGCTATCAACTAATGAACAAGTGATTTATATAATATATTTATTAAAATAGTTTTGTGATTTTCTTGATTTTTACAATTTTGTATGCGAGTTTTACATGTTTCGCCCTGTGGGCATCATCAGAAACTGATGCATAGAAAATTGTAAAATCCAAGAAAATCACAAAATTATTTTAATAAATATATTTTATAAATTACTACCATGGATTACGTATTCAACTTAGAAAATAATAAAAAAAATATAATGAACAAGTGATTTATCTCGAATCGACTCGAGACTTAAGACACCACGTGCGCGTGTGTAAGCCATCAGCCGTCGGATCTCTTACGTTAGGCTACGGATTCCAATTGGATTTATAGGCCAAAATGGTATTGTTAATTAGACGCGATAAATAACACTTTTCTCCGTGTGGTATAGTTGTTAGTGCAAAAATAATACAGTGAGTAGTAACATCAATTCTACTTTATGTGAAACGTTTGATAAGAGAGCGTTGTGGCTCGATGGTACGTAGGATATGCCTTGGATCGTACATACGTTCGTTTTATTAAAAAAAAAGAAAGAGGAATGTATGTTAAATATAATCAATAAAACTCAATTTAAAATTAAAATCTTATTCCTACTTTTTTGTTACATCTTCTTTGTCATTTTCAGGATATAAATCTTAAATCATATTTCATATGAAGCTTATGTGAGTGCAACATAGCTAAGGCTTGTGTTGTTGTTTTTAAAAAGTTGTTATAAAGTAGACGCATAAATAGAAGAATCAAATATAAATAATAAAAACGCTCGGTGGTCGAGTGGGGACGTGCACCTGCTGGTATGCTAGCATACACGGATCGAATCTCAGGTACAGAACGCATTTTTCTCAAATATAAAAATATCAGGTGTAATTTGGGTTGCATATATGAATTGCAACGAAATATAAGAGAAATTTGAAATACAAGTGAAGGCAAGTGGAGAAACGAGAACAGAGAAATAGAAGGAGTAAAGAAAATAGGAGAAGACAGAAGGAAGAAGAGAATAGAGTGTAGTAGAGCAGAGAAGAGGAGGAGATAGAAGAGACAGAACAGGGGAGGATCAGATTTTTTAAATTTTTTGGCACGTGTCGTTATAAGACAGTTTACAGCCCACTGCTCCGGTGCGTCCATTGCTCCCGGCCCATCCTACAGCTACGATGTCTCTGCGCTTCATCCCCGAAATTATCAGGCATATCAACAATTTTTATGGTGGGGGATCATCCCCCGAGTGGGAGAACTCCTTATAAGGACATCCTTTTAAAAACTTATAAAAATATTTCTAAGTTTTAAGTCGTCTCAAGAGAGGAGACACTTAAAAATATTCTTACAAGTTCTAACCTGTACCTGAAATGAAAGAAGGGGTGTGTATGGTTCAAAATCACTTGTAATATTTGTTTATTGAAACATGTATACAATGAAAACTTAGAATAAATAATACTAAACAAAATATACGCCGCCATCTTCGAATCTAGTTATACGACCAGTATAGCCCCGCACATGCAGACAAGTACCTAGAGTAAAGAAAATAACAAACAAAACATATAATACTATCAAAATTTGTATAATTTTCACGGTAATCACGGAAAACTATTATACAGAGTGTCCCAAAAACAATGTAGTAATATTTTAAGAGAAAATGTAAAGTTCTAATAGAAAAATATATATCTAAAACCACTCTCAATGTAATATCACAAGGAAATTAATATACAGGGTGATGCAAACAGAAAATGACATTATTTTAAAGGAAAATCATAAGTTTAAGTAAAATAATATATATCGTACCCACTTTTGACAAACTCACTAGGGAAATTAATATACAGGGTGATGCAACAAGAAAATCCTAAGTTTTAAAAGAAAAACCCAAGCACTAATAAATAATGGTCTAATAAAGGTTTATTTTCAGTAAATGGTAAGAAATATATATATACTGGGTGATACATAAAGAAAAACTAAGATTTAAGTAGGAAAATAGAAGGAAACAATTTACAAGACAACAATAACAGGATGATATAACAAGAAACCCACCAGGAATTAAAAGAAATCAAAATATTTGCACCGAAAATCAAAGATGAGTGACAAAACATAAAAATAAAACTTTTAAGATGAACTTGTTCTTCCTCTGGATATTAATGATTAGTAATGGGTGTGTTATTACAAAAATAAAGCACAAAGAAGAATTTTATTTTTAATTATGTAAAACAACTGGCGACCAGCCTAGACAAAGCCGCTAGAGAATCTAGAACGCAGCCGACGGCACGCGACAATCTTAATCATTTTAATTCGTACATTAAACAAAAACAAAAAAAATGTATCGAATTGGTAAGGCAAATCAACGGTAGGTACTGAAACAAAGACAAAAATTGTTTATGTGCTTAAAGACCACGCGGTTCAAGTAAAAACGAGTAAAGTCAATAATGGGATTGATTTTCATATGACTGAGGAAATGTGAAAACATACCTTGTTGCAAATCAATTTTTGCGCTACTGGCATATCCAATAAGTTGTAAGGACCTTAATTATGTAGGAACGATGATATATGCGTATAATACAAAAGAGTATCCGACGGCCGACGGAACATCACTCACGCTTTATCTCTGTGTATGTACAATCCGCGTTTAACAAACGCAGCACATCACTCACGCACATTCGTAGAAGCATTTAGAAATTTTACGTAACAACGCGATGAAAAATTAAGGAACTCAAGAATAATGAAGAAAATGTGCGTGCAGGTTACCTGACGACAAAAATGAGACTGACGTGGTACGTAAGCCAACCGCGTGGCGACCACACAAATATTGCAGGAGATAAAAACTTGTTTATTTGTAAACAATGATACGTTCAGTGTGGTAGTGCAGAACATGAATAGAATTGTTCTCGTACTATGCATGGAACTTTTAATTTTAAACTTAAGAATTCCAATTTTTATTTCATGATAAAAAAAAGTTGAAAAGATTTGCCTTTTTTATAACAAAATCTTTTCTTTAATTTTTTCATTCAAATTTGTTCGTTTTACGAAAATATGCATGTGTGTTGAAAATTGTGAAAGCATCAAAAATATGAAGTCCGTTTTTATGTGGCCTTTTTAATTGTCGAGATAATTGCAATTTTATCTCGACGGTTTAGACGAAAAATTTTTAAGAAAAAAGTTCGACCCTGTTCTTCGACCGAATATTTTAGTATAAAATCAAAGATTTTACCCGAAATATTGAGCAAAAGGGTGCTACAAAAATAAAACACTTACATTTTAATATATTGTGAATATGTATTTATTAATTGATGGTAGCATCAACTGTATAAGGTAGCCGACGGGTGAAGCATCATTACAATTTGATAGAATATACGGCGGAAAACATCTAAATCAACAGACGGACGACGGTGCGTAGCAACACAATGGTTAAAGACGATAAAAATAACTATTTTTTTGTAAATAACATGCACCGAGACTGCGAAAACGAAAAACTATTCACCGTTCAAGATTTTATTTCAACGAGAAATTATTAATTTAATGATGCAATTCGATTAAAACTGTTTACGTGATCAACAAAAACATGACCGAACCGACGGCCGACGGCAAAGTCAGCGTGGTCGACCCATGAATTTCAAAAACGTGCTTTTAAATCAAGCATGTCAATTTAAGTTAAACCGCCTTAACTTTCCGCGAAAAGTTTTAATTATCCACCCACCTGTGCATTGATGAGGAGATTTTCGACCATGTAATATATTCTATCAACTGAAAACTCGCGCAGGGATTAACGGACACTTATTTCTTACACAAGAAGACTCTAACCGCCATAAATCATTAAACAAAACAGGCACACATGCCCATTGCGAATATTTTGTCGATGGCCAAAAGAATACACGACGATTAATCCAATTAAAACCTC